CTGCCCAGCCGATCGCAAGGGGTCTCTGGAGCCTCCTAGGTCCAGATTAGCCTTCGTCAAGTGAGGCGCAGCGTCCGGTTTACCGGATAGCCATGAAACGCACGCAAGCGCCCAGTTTCAATACTGAGTTGAAGGCAGGACGCTAGTGGGAGGAAAAGACTCTGGTGGCGATTTAAGGTGGTTGTTCGTACCGTTCGTCGCAAGATGAAGGGGGAAGGAGGTCTTCAAGGGCGACAGGGGAAAGGATCGGAAGGTTTTGGAGCGGCGCCACTGGAGGTCTATTTTAATTGTATCGCTGAAGGAGAGCCAGAACGAACAGTAAAAGAAGAATAAAAAAGAAAGGAAGCCGATAACACCCGGAGGTGAGGGGTGGTTGTTAATTTCGAAAGATTGAGAGATTAAGGAAGAAGAGGGTAGAAGATGGAAAGGAGCGGGGAGGCGAAAGAAGAGCGCCAGAGCGAGCGGAGAGAAGAGGAGAGAAGCGAAGGAAGAGAAGGGACTAGATTATTGGATCATGGAGGAGATGGGGAGGGGGGGTTGGAAGAGACAGAAATCTGGGAGGGACTTGGGAAGAGTCCGGGGTTGAACCCGCCTGTCTGCCTGAATTTCGGGGAACCTGGCATTACAGCGGCGGCGCCTCTGGCAACTCTGCAGGCTTGGGCCTCTCGTCCGGCTGACCCTAACTCCGCGGGGGCCGGGCGGTGTTAAGGGTCTCCCAGCAGGTACCAGACCTGAGCCTGGGCGCATACTTCAGCGTACCGAATACCCGCTGCTCTGGTTCCCCGGCTGGTTCGTCGGGTCTCCCAATAGCCGAGCCCAGCCAAGACTGTGGCTGGTGGTCCGGTATTTGGGGGGGGGGGGAAAAGGAGTCACATGGTTTGTCTGCTCTCCCTCGTCTAACTTCCCTGGAACTGCCAATTGCAACTCCCCTTCCCCCCTCTCCTTCCCTCGTCTCCTACACTTTCTCTATTTGTGCTTCGCCATCTCGTCCGAAAGATACCCAAAATAGACATGGAGTCCCTGAGGCACAACCTTTCGTGGCTCTAGTGCTTTACCCCAGATTCCTGGTTCAGTAACACGAACCAAAATAGCAAACTCCCCTTGAAACCTTAAAATTTTGATGGATCTAGCATCTTCTCGTATACACCTCCCTCCATCTACACGAAATAAGCAAGGATCTGCATAATTCGTTCCTCAGCCGGGAACGAAAGCTGGTCAGTGCCATAACAAAGTATTCATGCCATGTGCTAAAGTTCCGCATTCCATCGATCCCATTGTTGTGAACCCGAAGCCACTGGTTCTCTTAGTTATATACTTGGCTTCGGATGAGAGCGCCAGCCTACGATGGCATGAGGTCCTCCCGCATACTTCGATTGCCTAGACCGGTGCCATAGTCCCCTTCTTGCACATACTCTCAACATCCCAGCCCTCGCTGCCTACCCCGTTACGCACCATGAACAGGCCGTCCGGATCCCATTGGCTCTTAATTTGACGCAATCGGCCATAATGGCGACCCCAGAAAGCATTCCGAAAGTCCTTCTGTTCGGGATCTGCCTCGTTGAAGTAGACACAGCCTCCCTCGGGATCGATGGAGGCGAGGATAGGTGTATTGATCTGGGACAGCGTTCGATGTGCGGCTGATTGTGCTTCGGTCGTCGGCGGGAATGATTGCATCAGAACTACAAGGAGGGAAGATGACCGCCACATCGGATTGACAGATGTGTCCTCGTCCTTGGCGTTGAGGTTAATCTGCCCTCCCAGCACATTGACCGTGATTAGTGCCCCAGGATCCAACACCAGCTTCGAAAAGGACGCTGTTAGTCTTGAAGTGCCGGCGATGCTATTCATGAATGACTCGGTTATCACCACGCTGCTTTGCAGGTATCCGATCCCGCCAATGTCTGCCTGCTTGGGGATAGTGAGAAAGTCGCTGGTTCTGGAGTATTCAGCCAACTCATATTGATACTCGATACCAAGCCAGTCAAGAAACCTCAGAAAGGGCCGAACCTGTTCTTCCAGCAACTCGGAATTGTTCTCGCCCCAGACGAACATTGTCCAGTTCACGTACCATTGGTAACTCGGCAGACGACCTACTATGTACTGTCCCGAATTTCCGTTGACCGACAGGGACCGCGTTAGTCGCACAATCTGCGTTATTGTTTGCCAGAAGATATCATTTGCTTGTGGATAGGTGAAATGGATGGTCGGGATAACTGATGGGATATCGCGGAATGTTCGCATCCTGACTTTGGTGACAATGCCATAAGTGCCTCCTCCGCCTCCCCGGAGGGCCCAAAACAGATCCTCGTGTTGGTTCTCGTCTGCAATGACTATGTCGCCCTGATTCGATTAGCGCCGTGAGAATCGATAGAAAGTTGCACGTACCTGTGCCGTCACGACTTCCAGTTCCAGAACATGGTCTACCGCCAGTCCGTACAATGGACTAAGGACTGTTGACACTCCACCTCCCTGGAGATATCCTCCAGCAACGCCGACCGTGGAGCATTCTCCCGCTACTACGAAAAGCCCTCGAGCAGCAGCAGCGGCATAAAGCTCACCTACCATAACCCCTGCCCCGATAGTGACGGCAGGCACTCCAATGGCGTTGACGTTATCTAATCCCAAACCCCCTTGGGAAGGGACGAGGTCGTCGTGGAAGGTTATATCTTTCATGCGATTCGTGAGGATTTGGAGGGAATTGGGAGCACCTGATCGACCAGTTGAGTCATGACCCGTATTCTTGATAACCAACCGAATATTTCTTTGCTTGGCAAACCTGACCACAGTGCGGATCTCATCGACCGAGTGGACGACTGCAGAGTATAACGGTATGCGCCCTTGCCCGCACACCCAGCTCAAGTTTTCCTCAATGGTACAACTTTCGTTTTTCCCGGGCCAATTCTCCCAGTTGAAACTTTGCAAAGCTCCTGTAGTGTTTGCATGCATGTCAGCGACAACAGACCGAGGCATTTCTCATGACTGGCATCCTACCTGGTTGCTCTGCGCGCCAGTTAGAATCATACTGCAAGTGAACAAGCTGATTGCAGGAGGCTTGGTTGAAGAAGGGCGCATGGCATACGTGGCCAATGGGGTAGACGCGAACCAAATGGCCACTGATGGATTCATTCAGGTGTTTCCAATCATCCGGGGAAGGCCAGCATGCGTCACTAGGTTGACAACGACATTCCCAAGTGGCTCTCACAAGAGACGATACCCGGAGCATCAGCAATGCTAGATTTATCAACATTGTTGATCGCTGGTTGATGCACCTAGCTCGCTGACAGTGACAAGGATTGGAAGCTGCCTCCGAAGCATCGAGCATATCGGGGAACGGACCTTCTGGGTCGGAAGGCCCTTCCTGTGTTACTACTATTTACTGTAGATGTCCATGGCAGGCTCTCGTCTTGTTTGCTCGACCACAATTTTTACCACTATATGTATACCCCAGCTACTTATGTGCGGACCTTACAATCTTAGGCTGTAACACCAAGCTATGTGCGGTGTACTATGCGTCGCTAACGTGTACGACTTGGGGACCAGATGCACTCAGGGCGAGCCTCAAGGCACCCTTATTAGAACTTTCTCTTACTAAGAACAGCCGACCACTAATTTTAGGAAGAGGAAGTAGTACAAATATACCACGTAGGTAAGCGGCAGTCCAGTGGAAGAGGTTCTATATTTGGTGCCTGTTAGTAGGTGCCCCTTATGATGCTTGCCTGCAATTGCCGGTCTATATATAGATTTAAGGGTAAACGGATACACAAGGGCATAACAAGACTATCAATCACGATCATGCCTGCTTTAACCTTTTCAATGCTCTTTACAATTTGTCATTGGTGATCGTGTAGTAGTTTCAAGCAACGTAGCAGGATGCCTCCACCCGAATATAGTTGTGGCCTCAGGCATGTGAGTTGGAGAGCACTTTTTCTCAGCCCTCCTCCAAACTCCCATATTTACAACTCCACTCTCGTTCACAGCCCAACTTGCAACCATCCGCCATCACTGATTTTCTCCGGACTCCGAAGTACTACCGTTAGTGCTACTGTATCCGAGCTACTGTACGCCTTTCTTGATCACCGACAAACGCTCCCCACTTGGGTTGCGTCCCGATCGGCGCTGTCGCGCAACCTACGGAGTACAGACTACAGAGACTGGTGAAGTGGCCGCGCTAGTCGCGCTGGACGAGCTCTTCGCTGACCCCCTCTTCTCCACAAGAATTTCGGAATTTCCATCCCCGAACAGAACTTTCACATCGATCCAGAGTCTAAGAGGCCCCCATATGTTGTCCTCATCGCCGTGCCGATCGACTCTGCTGCTCGGGCGCTAAGTTCGGACCTGGAATACCAGACGGATGAGGCCTGGGGAGGAAATAATGCGGGCGTCCATTTGTCTGTTCAGTCGTGAAGGAGGAACAAAGAAAAAAATTGAGAAGAAGAACGAGGCGGTAAAGCGGGAGGTGATAAGCTTCTGCAGCAAACTGCATTGCATTATGCAAGTTTTCTCGACCTCGCGTTTCTGCAGCTCTTCATGAACTCCGCCGAGCAGTATCTGATCTCGTACCCCCCGGTCGCATACCCGACAATTCTGGTCTAGCCGGCTTACAGAGGCCTGCGCTGGAATGCTATGTCTTCTCCCCTCTTCGCTCGTGTTCACTTCCACCAATGGCAAACAGCTGGACGACAAGTGGTGGGCGAAGGAGCATTCAGCAGGGCGGCTAGGAAGATGATCCCTGTCAAGCTTCTGCATGCTGTTAGCTCCTTAAGACAATGCGTTAATTCCACTGCGGAAATGCCCCCGAGGAGGGAAGGTCTCGGGGAAATAGAGCAGTCGGTTTTGCGCCGCGAAACTCAAAGATCATCACTCTGAACGGCTTTGAGTGGACCTCAACAGTTTGCCTAGAGACGTCCAACTCACTTAGTCTTGACTTTGTGGGCCTGGAATAGCCCATGATGTGTCCGCACGGCTGACTTGACCCAAGACACGGCAGCTCACAACATAACGGTGTAAGCCGTCTCTGGTTCCGTCCTTTAGGTTGGCCGGGAATGGATAGGGTGCGAACGTTGCGGGGTTGTCATTCGTATCTTACTGTCGATCCCAGGACTAGACACAATGGAAGTCCCACCCGCCAAGCTTCTGTCAGTTGCCTTTATTTGGGGCATCTGCTCTTCTGACTTGTGAACCTTTTGTCTTGTGAGACACACTGTTCTTATCGCTGTGTTACGGCTGCCGACAAGGTAGTACTCTTGACTTTACAATGGCCTCGGCTGACCAGACGTGGGAATTCATCGTTGTGGGTGGTCAGTATGGAAGCTCTCTTCATTGATCAGGACCTTTTCACCTAACGATATTATAGGTGGCCCGGCGGGTTGTGCCCTTGCCTCAAGACTCGCTCGGTCAGCGCGACGCCCTCAGGTCCTCCTGCTTGAAGCCGGCCCTCGTAAGGATGATCCATCGCTGCGTGTGGACGGCCAGCGATGGCAAACCTTTATGAATGGGGACCTGAATTGGGGCTACAAGACCACCCCGCAAGAGCACTGTAATGGTCGACAGATCGACTATTCTCGGGGCAAGGTGCTGGGTGGCAGCAGCGCCATCAACTTCGGGGTCTACACCGTGGGTGCGCGAGACGACTATAACCAATGGGCTGGGCTTGTTGGTGATGACTTGTTTCGCTGGGAGCGCATGCAAGCTCGATTCAAGCAGTTGGAGACGTTCAACGGTGCCATTGTGGACCCAAAGAACAGCAAATATGCGACCCCAAATACCTCGGACCACGGCTCCCAGGGGGGTCTGAAGGTCGGCTATGCGGCTGAATGGGAGCAGGATCTTCCTCTTATGATGGATGTGTTCGAGCAGGCTGGCTTGACTCACAACCCTGACCACAACTCGGGAGACCCAATTGGAATGGCTTTGGTCATCAATTCATCTCACCAGGGCCGAAGAGTGACGGCAACTGATCTATTGGATGGGGCACCATCTAATCTCACTATCATAACGGAGACGCCAGCGCTCAAGCTCATACTCCAAGGCTCCAAGGTTGTTGGTGTGGAAACCAAGGGGGCAAAATGTATGCGTTAGAACTATCCCTCATTGAATCATCCAACTAATCAGGCTCGCTGCAGACCTCGCATCTAAGGAAGTGATTCTAACAACCGGATCACTGGACACGCCCAAGATCTTGATGCATTCGGGACTTGGACCAGCGGACCAACTACGACAATTTGGGATCCCCGTCGTCAAAGACATACCTGCGGTAGGTCAGGGTCTTCGTGACCACTTCTTCGCACCGTTGTGCTTCCAAAGGAACCCGACAACAAACGATCGCGACGCCTTCTTCGGCAACCCGGCCGCCATGGAGTCTGCTCTAGAACAATGGAGCAAAGATGGCACTGGGCCATGGGCACGTCACTCGTGTCAGATTGGCGCCGGCTGGCTCAAATCGGATCGTTTGGTCGCATCCGAGGAATTCAAAGCACTGCCTCCTACTGTGCGGGATTTCCTACAACGCGACACGGTGCCACATTATGAATTTATGACACATTTCCCACTGCATCTTATCGCTCCCGAGCCCTTTAAAGACTACAGCTACGTCTGCATGCTCGTGTTTCTGATGAACGAGCAATCCAGCGGCGAAGTACGCCTGCAGTCAGCCAAACCTGAAGACCCGCTGTTGTTTGACCCGAAGTTCCTGTCACATCCGTTTGACAGGCGCGCATGTATTGAGATCTACCGCCATGCGCTAGAGGTAACGAAGCATGAGTCTTTCCAGAAGGACACAGTGTCCGCCTTGATTGCTCCTCCGTCCGAGTCGGATGAGGATATCCTAGAGTTCTGGAAGAACACACTCGGGTCCAGTTGGCACATGACTGGAACGACCAAGATGGGCAAATCCGGGGATGTCGATGCGGTCGTGGACAGCCGGTTCCGGGTATTTGGTGTCGAGAATCTGCGAATTGCTGACATGGGTGTGGTGCCTGTTTTGACCAACAACCACACGCAGGCAACCGCGTATGTGACTGGTTTGACGTGCGGAGATGCGCTGGCAGAGGAATATGGACTTGATATTTCGGAGGCCCGATTGTAGGTGGTTTACAAGACATGAACAAGAACTCGTCTGGAGTGTGACTATGGACAATCACTGGCTTCACATTGGATATTTTATAAGGGCCTATGTCAATCACAACTTCCCTCTCTATATACGGAGCCGGGGCTCGGTGTATACGAATGATGATGTTCTGAAGGCGGGACTGGTAAATCTCTACGTGATTCTCATTATTTCATCATCCTCCCGTCTTCATGGGGCCAGTCGTGTACCTCATCAACACGAATGAACGATTATACCCTACGTAATTAGGAACGTACCTTTCCTTTGGAAGTCCAGATATCTCGGTCTCTACCTGTCCACCACACCACACTCCAGCGCAACAACTTGGACGACTACAAAAGAAAGTCTCCACAGCTAGTTTCTCGTTTACGCAATATCTACTCTCAGATAGATATTTCTTTACTTACTATATAAACAAACCCCACCTGAAAAGCCACACCACCAAAACCATAATAATGGAATCACCACACAAGATAGTTCTCATCCCCGAGGTACTGGAACAAGTCCTCGTGGAGCTTGACGCAACCACCCTCCTTCTCTCCCAACGCGTCTGCCACCTCTGGAACTCACTGATCGAGACATCCCCGACCCTCCAAAGAGCCTTATTCTTCCGCCCTGAGAAGCAGTCACCAACCGAAGACCAGAATCCCAAGCGCACCACAAACCCCTTCATGGACAAGCTCCTGAAGCACTTCGTCAGCAACCCTAGATCAGTCAACAGCACACAAGATAGCAGCAACTGGCTTCGTCTATTCATGTCCCTACAAACAACGAATCATCAAAGGCTAGGACGCAAGCAGCACCCCTACTCCCGCCCCGAAGCCAGCTGGCGAGAAATGCTCCTCGACCAACCACCAACCCCGAGTATACCGGTCAGGGATGACCTCACTCCCCTGAAGATATTAGGGGTACTCTGCGACGAGAGAAAGTCCGTCCTCAGACTAAAGCATCTAGAGACGCTTGTTCAGGTGTGTTTTTTGCTCCCTGTGGGGAACATTCTCATCTTCTATCCTATGCAATGTCGTCCTTTGTACCGCGCGCCGGTCTCAGGTCTACGAAGATCTTTGGAAAATCGTCACACTTATATCATGCCTAGATCCTTTAGGCCGACGCGATTGTCTGCGGCGGGGGGAAATGCCGCCATGCAAGGTGGCAGAACTGCAGGTCTCCCATGGTTGACTGGGGTTATGAGGTGGCTTAAGGAGTCGGGGTGGGGGTGTATGCGGGAGATTCGGAGCTTGGAGTATGCTCTTCATTTTATGGACTTACGTTTCTTGTGAGGTCGGACGGTATGAGGTATTAGGTGGGAGAGTAGTGGTGATATGCAGACACTTGCTTCTGCATTATACTATGAAAAGTGTGCGCATGACAACACTTGTTGGTGATTGAGGATATGGGTACTCTGATGAAGAGTGTAGACTTATGTCGAGGGATAGCTGGTATAGTAGCTAGGATTTCTCTTGTCGAATGATATTGAAGTTTGCTCATCTATGCGCTCTCCTCCTGTGCAATGTTAGGCATACTCATATCGTAGTATATACATACTGCATTCAACAACATGAGGTCAGAGCGTTACACAATGCTATAGGGTGTGTCAAGACTCGAGATGAGCAGGAAGATGCTAGGGTAGTATTCAATGAACAAGAAGCCCAAGAAGATGCTCACCAACCACAGACACAGACTATCTCCAGATACTGTTCCCCGTGACCGCCCCGTTGACCGCCAAAGGCGGCAGAACCTAGTGAACCTCGATCAAAAGACCTCGGATCTAAGCGGATTTAAGGCTTTCCAGAATCCAAATGGTCACCCTGGATTCTGTATGTTTTTTGACCGCCTTTTAAATTCTGCCGTTTGGCACTACCAAGTACACATTCAGCATGAACTGTGCAATATCTTAGACACCATCATGCTATCTGACAATAGGCCCACCATATTCCTGTAAGCCAGATTCAATATTCAAGCACTTTGTGAGAGTGCAAGCAATCTTCGACAGAATATTCCATACATTTGCGACCCCGACCAACATCCCGCGAGCGGCAGCTTCAATTGGGCTGCGTTCATTACTTTCGAGGATGGAGTTCAGTGGGTGCTGCGATCGCCACATACAAAGGGCACTGAGATGTCAAGGAGATTATTTCGAAACTGCTCTTTGACTCTACTGATGGCCACCGTCTCTTTGCTGCCATCTGGTGACATATCTATGGCCAAGAAAAGAACGCTAGGTCTTATTATACCGAGAAGCGATCGTCCTCAAGCTTTATCGAGGCGTGCAATGACATCCGACTGGGAGACCAGCCAATTCAGAAGATCCAAAAGGCTGAGCGGGAGTATTTTCGGGGTAATACATCCCAGGAGGCCATTGCAAGGAAGCTAACACCAGTTTCGCAGTGGGGTTGCCAGCACACGCCACCCCACCAGCAGCGTCTCCGGAAAGCGGGGGAGCTTTTTGTCACCGACTCCAAGCTGTGGAAGTGGATCATGCTGTTCAAATTTGAGTGGAATCGAATGTACGTACACGAACTAATCTTGGAGCGTTGAACCGGTACAACATTACTTCACGGCTTAATCAAAGGGTGGTTTGGTTGCTCTATATGCTATTCAAAAAGGAAAAATACAGTTCTATAGGTGTCCCCGGAGATACTCGCCCAGCGCCATGATGGCCATGGCCTGTCCATATGGCATGGCTGTCAAGGGAATCTTCTTATAGAATTCCAAAGAATCTCCCATGCCGGTGCCAAAGCTCGTCTGCTGCAGTTCTCCAGTCTCATCAACGGCGCCCAACACTGCCTGAACGGCCTTCTCTGCAACTACCCGATACTTCTTTGGCAGATACCTCTTCCTGACAGCCTTGAGGATACCATATGCAAAGCCTGCCGTGGCGGAGGCCTCGACATACGAATCGGGATGGTCAAGCAGAGTGTGCCAAAAGCCCGATTCCTCCTGCAGGCCCATTAATGCCTCGCATTGGGCCTCTAACGTATCCAACAAGAACAGGCGAATGGGATCTGTCTCCTTCAGTTCCAACAACTCAACAAACTCTGGGATAACCATTGTCACCCAACTATTACCGCGCGCCCATCTCGCCCGAGCAAAGTTATGTCCTCCCTCCTCGAACGTCCAGCCATGAAACCACAGCCCGGTGCTCGTATCCACCAAGTATTTTACGTGCACCAACGTCTGACGCTTGGCCTCCTCAACATACTCTGGTCGATTCAGCAACTTTCCAATTTTCGCTAACGGCATCACGGTCATCATCAATGTATCATCCCACAACTGCTGGTGATTTTCCGTAAGGTATGTGGCGTGCTGCATTCCGCCCTGCTTGGTGCGTGGGAGCTCATGCATGGCCCACTCGGCCCATGAATCCAGCCAGGGCAGATAGACAGGATTTTGCGTCTTCTCGTATACGTATGCTAGAGTGAGGAAGACGGCCATTGTGTTGATGTTCTTGGTGGTGCCGCCTTCTGCGAAACGGGCGGCGAACCAATCCTCGATAATCTGGAGGAGGTGTGGGGAGCCGGTCATCTCGTAGTATTTCCAAATACCATAGAGGCCGATACCATGTGTCCACTCCCAACCATGCCAGGACTTGGTATCGATGATGCGGCCATCGGCGAGGGGGAGGAGGAATTGACCAGTTTTGTCTTGGATGTTGACGAGGTTGGTGATGAGGAGGTCAATTTTGGACCTGACAGCGGGAGGAGATGTAGAAGCCATGGTGAGAGATGAGGAATCGAGGAGATTTGCTGAGGTGGCGGTTGATTGTGCTGCAGTATGGTGACACCGGTGTCTATAAGTGGGATGAAGCACCCCTCGTGTCGAGCTCCAGCAGCAATGCGGGGAATGCCCTCGGGCTAACTTCTGCCGAGCAGCCACGTCTTAATCCTGCCAAGCTCGCTCGGCAAATAGAGGGATTGGTCGTTTAATATGCTAAACTAAGGATAGGCTCTGAATTGCTTCTAAGCGAAGGGTTCGGGCCAATTGTCCCCGCGCGGGGGCGGCAGGGTCCGCCCCCGGATTGTACGCGTGGAGAATCCCAGCCCGCAGGCATCCCTGGCATCAGACTATCAGACCTGCCCATCATGCCTCTCATTGGAGTGAAAATGCAGCCACGGAGCAGCCACTCGTGCCCTAGTCAGACTCTATCTTCCGCATGACCGATATAAGGGTGTCCGGTCCCCCAACTGGGTTGACCCTGTTGATCCTCTCCAACCCTAGAGGTCTGACAGCAATATGTCTATGGAGAATATTAGCTCGATGCCCGCGGGCGGGCCTGACTCCAAAGGAGCTTCCACAGCTGTGGAGGATCACAAGCCGACTCAAGATGTCTCCCATGTCGAGCGGGTGCTCTCGCCCACCGACAAACTCAAGGACCCGATCGATGCTGCTCGCGTCGATAATGAGGTGCTGGAGTATGCCACCCGCGGCCAGATCGAGGTCGATGAAGCTGAAAGTCGGCGTCTTCGCCGCATGATTGATCGTCGTGTGCTGGTCATCATGATCGTGACATATTTTCTGCAGGCGCTGGATAAGGGTACCATGTCGTTTGCTTCCATTATGGGCATTCGCGACGATGCTCATCTTGTGGGACAGGAGGTGAGTAAGCCTATATCTCGCTACGTTCAAATACTAACAAATTAGTACTCCTGGCTCACAACCTGCATTTACATCGCTGTCCTGATCGTCGAATACCCTACCAACTGGATCATCCAACGCGTCCGCATCGCCAAATACCTCGGCTTCAATATCGTCTGCTGGGGCACGATTCTAGCCCTGCACTCGGCATGCCACAACTTTGCCGGTCTAGTGACTGTGCGTACTCTGCTTGGTATCTTCGAAGCTGCCTGCCAGCCTTCCTTTGTTGTTCTTTCCGGAATGTGGTATAAGCGTGAAGAACAAGCCTCTACCGTCACCTTTTGGTAATCCTAGCCCTACACCTTTCATCTACACACACTAACATAGCAACAGGTACATGATGAACGGCGGCCAACAAATTGTTGGTGGTCTCCTAGCCTACTGCTTCAGTCTAATCGGCTCCGGCCGTGCGCTCAAATCCTGGCAAGCGCTCTTTCTCACCTACGGCTGCATTTCCGTGCTCTGGGGCCTCTTTGTGGTCTGGTGGATGCCTGACTCCCCAATGCGCGCCAAGTGCTTCAGCGAAGAGGACAAGCACAAGATGGTTGAGCGTGTCCGCGCCAACCAGACCGGACTGCAGAATAAGAAGTTCCGCGCGTACCAGATGTGGGAAGCGTTCCGGGATCCGCAGATGTACTGCTACTGCGCCATTCAGGTCTTTACCACGCTGCCCACGAGTGGACTTGGAGCGTTTGCGAACATCATCATTAGTGGGTTCAACTTTACGGAGTTGCAGACGCAGTTGTTGGCGATGGTTCTGGGCTTTTACATTATTATTGTGTTGTTGACGAGTGCGTGGTTGGTCAAGAAATACCAGCAGAACTTGCTGGTGATGTTGGGATTTATTATTCCGTGAGCTCCTCTGTCATATGATATTTTCATGGTTTGTGATACTAACAAAAGATAGGTCTTTCGTCGGAACCATTGTCCTCATGACGGTGCAGAACCACTCCCTTAGCACCAAAGTTGGTCTGCTCATCAGCTACTACATCACGCTGTCGTTCTGGTCTGCGCAGAACTTGGGATTGTCCATGGTGACGAGGAACATTGCCGGCGCTACCAAGAAGTCGACTGTTGTGGCAGCGACTTTTGTGTCTTGGGCTGTAGGGAACGCCATCGGTATGAACCTTCTCTCCCTATAGATCCAGAGATATACTAATGAAGTAGGCCCCCAAGTATTCCTCGACCGCGACGCCCCGCGGTACTTCACTGCCTTCGGCGTGCACCTCGGCTGCTACTCCGCCATGACACTGGCGGTGATCTTCCTGCGCTTCTACCTGATCCGGGAGAACAAGAAGAAGGACAAGGCAATGGCAGAGATGGGCATATCCCTAGAGGGCGAGGACCATCTAGCGAGAGCGTTCGAGGACAGGACAGACCGCGAGAATATCCACTTCAGATATATATACTAGGCCTAGCTAGCTACCCTCCACCTCCCATACAATTCAAGCATCTGATACCCTTGTCACCCCACCAACCCACTATATACATCCATTATATCATACTAGATACTAGACGATGAATCACTTCCTCTCAAGATCCGCCACCAAATCATCCACACTCCTCATCTCCTTCGCATTATTCTCCCCCACATCCAGCGCAACCAACACCCTACTAACACAATTATACCCCGCCACGCCCGTCGTCAACTCAACAATCTCCCGATCCGACAACCCCACCTCCTTCAACCCCTCAAACGTACTATCCTGCACTTTCACCGTCCGCGTCATCTCATCCACATACCGCACCACAGCCTTCTGCACGTCCGTCAATTGACTTCCCTTTAACTCGTCCTCCGCCTTCGCATCCTCCTCGGCCAGAGAGGGAAGTGTCCGCACCGCACCCAACTCCACCCCCTTAATCCTGCCCTTCAGCGCCAACGGCGCATGCGCATTCCACTCGTAAATGGCATTCGTGAGTACCGCGACGCGACACACCGCCAGCTCGAGTAATCCGCCGTCGATGATGGTCTGGGTGCGAATTGCGCCGAGGAAGCTGTTCCAGCCGTCGGCGACGGGAGGGGAATGAAGCAGGGAGAGGTCGAGGGGGATGAGGGGGCGGGGATGCCGGCGGGCGGCGATGCGGGAGTAGATTTCGGTGGTGGGGAGGTCGGTGGGGTCCGGGGGGGGGGAAGGGGCGTAGGGGAGGCGCATTTTTCGTGATTGTAGTGATTTACTGGTGATGTTGTTAGATGTATGATTAGTATTATTTAAGGAGAGAAGAGGAGGGGGATTGGCTTACAATTTGAAAAGGTAGGGTTTGGGTCGGGGTTTGGGGATGATAAACATAAGTTGGTTAATGTGGATGGAGGGGTGGTGGGGTGGGGATGGGAGTACTCTAGTATTAGTATTGTCTGTGTTGGAGTGAGTTTGGAATGGATGGAATGGACCGTTTATCCGCCCGACCCGAGATTGGTTGCCGAGTGGGTGCGGGTGCGGGTGGTCGGCTGTGTAGATGCCGATAGTACTAAGTAATTTGGTGTTGGTGGGCATGGGGTGAGTTCTGGGGTGGGAGGAGCACTAACTACTCCTGGGTAGGTAATTGTCAACTAATTGCCAACTACTTACTGCTCACTGGTGCAGGGGGAGTCTGGGGTGCGGGGATCGTGCGTCGGCGCATTCTTGGGTCTGCAGGGGTATAGAGCAGTCATACTGGATTCGGAGAATAGTAGCTGAGATGCTGAGATCGGGGGAGGAGGGCTAATACAGTGCTATCGGTTGTTTAGTGTCTTTACTATTAAGTTGACAGATTGACACTTAGTAGTTGCTAGCTAATATCCTATTTATATATTGTTGAGATAGACTCACCAAACCATCTCACTCTGTCATGGATATATCACCGAAGTTTCTCACATACCATACCTGCAAGGGACCCCCTCGCTGATCCCTCACGTCCCTCTTTGACTCTCTCCAGCTCCATGTCACATAGTGGCTTAGAATCTCCCGAGTCCCGACTGCTCCAACAGCACTGATCCAGCCCAATGCCATCGGCTGATCCACGTCTATTGAACCTTGTTTTCCATAATGACAGCTACCATTTTCGAGCCGTCAGCTTGGCGGAGAATCAAGCCCTGCAAGGGCGATGCAAGGGGGAGATGCAGAACCAAGTATCTATCAACGTTCCAACGTCGTTGCAATGGAACATGTCTGTCTCAACATGCATGACCCTAGCAGGTAGCTTCACATCGAGACATAGCTGACCGCTTGGAGAGTATATATCCTCTTCACCAGACTCTAGTCCGAATAGTAGGTCTGATACTTTTTCCCACCACTATCCCAAGTAGCATCACCATGAAGTGGCTCAACCTCCTCCCCATAGCCTTAGGGCTAGGTACTACCTCCCCTCCCTCCCATTTACCACCTACCACCTCTACCCATACTAACCAAGCCGAATACCAGCCCACGCAAGCATCATCTCCTTCTCCCCCCCAACCAACCCAGACATCATCTACAGCCTCACCATCCCCAACACCACCACCCTCTCCACCCCAGGCCCAATCTACATCCAAATCACCGCCCCAACCTCCATCCAATGGGTCGGCCTAGGCCAAGGCGCCCAAATGACCGGCGCAAACATGTTCCTCCTATACACCTCCTCGTCCACCAAAATCACCCTCTCCCCGCGCTCCGGCCTCGGCCACTTCGAACCCCAATACACAAGCAACACTCAAATCACCATGCTCCCAGGCACCGGCATCTCCACCATCAACTCCACCACGGCCGCCCTCACCAACAGCAGCTCCGACAACACCAGAACAACCATGACAGCCAACTTCCGCTGCGACAACTGTCTCACCTGGCAAGACGGCACCGGCACCATGAACCCCAAGGACTCCAACTTCCCCTTCATCTGGGCCTATCGCGCCGGCGTACCCATCAACTCCGCCTCCATGGACGCCGACATTTCCATCCACGACGACATGGGCGGTATTCAAGTCGATCTCACTCGGGCCGGTATGCCCCCTCAACCCAACGACACAACATCCCCGGATAGTAGTAGTAGCAGCAGCAACACCACAAACCCCTTCGCCAACTACAACCCCCTCACGGACTCCATCCCCGCCCAATCCCCCACCAACCCATCCACAACCTCCTCCCCGCTCCCAAATCTCACCAAAATGACCCATATCCTCATCTCCCACGCAACCCTAATGGCCCTCTCCTTCGTGCTCTTCTATCCGCTCTCGGCCCTGCTCATGCCCCTGCCCATCTCCCTCCCCATTTCGAAATTCAGACTGCATATGCCCCTCCAGTTCTTCACTATGCTCATGACCCTCGCTGGCTTCGGATGCGGCATCTACCTTGCCTATGAGACGGGGCAGTTGCGCACGGCGCACCCGATCCTAGGGATTATTGTCGTCGGGGTGTTGGTGCTGTTTCAGCCCGCGATGGGCTGGTTGCAGCATTTTGGGTATGTGAGGACGGGGGGTAGAACGGTGTGGGGGGTTTGTCATCGGTGGCTTGGGAGGGGGGTTATTGTGGTGGGTGTGGTTAATGGCGGTATTGGGATTCATGTTGCTAGGGGTATGGGGATGGCGCCGGTGGGGGCCGTTGTTGGGTATGCGGTTGTTGCCGGGGTGGTTGGGGGAATTTATTTGGGGGGGTTGTTGGTTGCGTGGATGGTGGAGAGGAAGAGGGGGATGGACGGGGAGGGGGAGAGGGTGGGAAATGTGGAGGGGAGGGAAGGTGGTGAGGGTGATGGTGATGGAGAGAAGGGGGGGAGTGTGGAGGAGAGGGTTGGGTAGGATGATTGATGTAGGGTGAAAAAATGATGATGATCATGTGTGTTAGTATAGACTAAGATGAGAATAGTCTGGCAAGGATCAAGGGTCGGAGTAGTGAGTGACTAGTGGATCCCACGTGGTGTCAGCACTTTATTTATACCAGATTACAATTACTACAAATAGGTGTCATAGTTTGTTAGAACATTAATCATCACATTTACTACAATTAGTTCTCATGGTTTGTTAAATCAATAATCATTAAATCTATACCATATCTATATCATAGCTGCATAGCTGCAAGCTGTATCTAGAACTTAAGAACAGCCTTACCCAAGTTCTTTCCATGGAAAATACCCAACAAACCCTCGGGCGCATTCTCAATACCCTGAGTCTCATGAATCAAAGACTTGAAAGTACCCTCCTTAATCCACTTCTGCACCTTCTCCTGGTGCTCCTTAGTATACTTATCACCCATACCCTTGTCACCGACAATGAAACCACGCATATCCAGACGCTTGGTCAACACATTGGTGATGTTCTTGATCGGGTAACCACCGCCATTGTACTGCGAGATCATACCGCACACGACGATACGACCGAAATCGTTCATCGCGTTCAGCGCAGCCTCAAGGTGCTCACCACCAACATTCTCGTAGTAGATATCCAGACCCTCGGGGGCCAGACGGGCCAGCGCATCAGCCGGCTTCTCAGTCTTGTAGTTGAAACCACCGTCGAAGCCAAGCTCCTTGGTGATGAAGTCGAGCTTCTCGTCCGATCCGACGGATCCAATGACCTTCAGACCCTCGTGCTTGGCGAGCTGGCCGACCAGCTGGCCGACAGCGCCACTGGCGGCGGAGACGAAGATGGTCTCGCCCTTCTTGGGCTTGCCGATCTCGTAGAGGGAAGAGTAGGCAGTCAGACCGGGCATGCCGAGGGCGCCGATGAAGACGCGGAGGTCCTCGATGCCGAGGGGGTTCTCGAGGGCGCGGACGCGGACGAGCTGGTCAGCGGCGACGGAGATGTACTGCTGGATAGGGAGGAAGCCAATGATCAGGTCGCCCTCCTTGTAGGCGGGGGTGTTGGAGCGGAGGACCTTGCCGATGATGCTGCTGTCGATGGGAGCGTTGAGGGTGAAGGCGGGGGAGTAGGACTTGATGTGGGCGGGGCGCATGCGGCCGCGCATGTAGGGATCGAAGCTGGCATAGAGGGATTGCACGAAGATGCCGCCCTCCGGGGCAGGGGCGGAGGCGTCGTACGAGGCCTGCTCGAGGACGACGTCCTGGCCGGGGACGAAGTAGCCGGTGGGGATTTGCTTGAAGACGAGGGTTTGGTTGGACATGGTGATTATGGTATGTAGATTTCACTTGGAGTGTTTGAGAGATATGCTATGAATGGAATAAGGGTCTGACGTAGGGTTTATATTTCCTGCGGATCATGGCGGGTGGAATGTCGATTACAAAGCACCATGATGATTCTACTGTATTGCCCCCTAAGCAAGAAGAAGCTTCTCGAGACGAGGAATGTTTTTTTAAGTTACCTAGGCTCTTGCCAGAAACAGGCTGGTGTGGGTGGGTTTTCGACCGGGACAACGGGCAGATTGGTGCAGAAGCTCCGTTGAACCACGGCTCTGGTGGACCGTGCCGGTGATGAGGCAATCGGGGGATATGCTTGTTCGGGGCATCAACCGGACAGGATGTGAACGACGAGTCCTGCTCGGCAAGTTAGGATTCTTTTTTTTTTTTTTTTTTCCAAAGAGTGAGTGGGAGATTGTTTCAAACAAACACTATAGAAATACAGTTCTTACTGTGTAAAGGCACCCCTCCGATAGGCTGCACTCAACGGAAACACATCTCCGTGAAGGGTTAGTTATGTCATACTGGCGGAGCGAACTTAGAATCAGGAATGGAAGCCAGAAAGTTTCCACTCGGCGGGGTTTACGGTGTCGAGTTATGCTACGGGCCTCGGGATAAGGGGACAAGTGGGGGATTCAATGCGGACGGTGAAACTGATTAGTATTCGGCGACCGATGCTTATCAAGCAGAAATGGAAGATGTTGAGACTGAAGAAAATGATCAAGATACCTCGGTAGTGGAGGATGTTGAGATTGATTTAATTGATTTGATGTTATCTCCATTATCCCCGGTATTAGTCAGCATACGCTGTCAAGTTTTTGTCGGATTAGATTCGGTCTTCGGCATCGACAGAATTGACTTCTATTTACTGCATCTCAACCACACAATTTTTGAACTTTCGACTGGGAACGCCCTTCTCAAATAGCACATCCAATTCCTCAAACGTCTTTCCTTGCGTCTCTGGCATCCACCAGAAGCAATAACCTGCACACAGTGCGCCCAACCCCGCAAATAAAAATCCCATCTTGCCTCGCCAGTTCCCCTCGTCTTCGTTCATCGCATACGGTATCACTACTGCGAACACTACCGACCACACAAAGCAGCTGACTGTGGCCAGCGCGATGGTCAGTCCCCGCAGTCTCGCCGATGAGACTTCCGCCAGCAGCACATAGCAGAATGGCCCGAGACTGAGATCATACACGAACGTGCAGGCCAGCATGAGCCCACACTGTCCCCATACCGTGGCATTGTCTCGTGGGACGACGTCGAGCACACCGATCAGGCACTGTACCACCGCCAAAGCGGAGCACCCGAAGATGTACATCGTTCGGCGGCCCACATACGGCAGTAATAGCCACGATAGACATGTTCCGACAAGTCCCAGCGCCGTCAGTCCGATGTTCATCGAAAATGCATTTGACGAGTCCAAGCCCGCCAGCTCCATAAAATGCACGGCGTAGTTGATGAAGAAGACATTTCCCGTGAAGGCTTGCATGTTGTAAGCCATCACGCAGATCAGCAGGCGGCGGAGGTTTGGCCCACGCAGACATTCCCGGTATGTCGGTCGGTCAGCCTGGAAACTGGCTTCTAGACGCAGTGTCTCTTCGATATGGATAGTTGCCGCGACACATCTACACCTGGAGTTGCTAGACGCCGCAGTGATGCTAGTGCCGCTTCGTTTCGCCCATGCCGACACAGCCAGTATGGTGGATCAGGGCAGAAGAAAATCAGCGCCAGCATGATGCATGGTAGCGCCCACTGCGTCGCGATGGGGATTTTGTACGACATGGTGGTGTTCAGCGATTCAGTGCCTTTTAGGATGCCCGATGCGATGAGCGACCCGATCGAAAAGGCAAGGTTGGTCATTGTAGCCGCGAACCCGCGGAGTGCCAGCGGGGTAACCTCTCCCACGTATGCGGAGGCACAAATGGGGTAAAATGCGATGATGCACCCATTTATGAGCTCCCCCGCAAACAACTGGGCTGGCGTATGACTGAAAAACTGCACGAAGATGAATGCGATGGACAGACACGAGCACACAGCTATCATCACTCGTGGACCGAAGCGATCGTAAGCAAAGCCCGAGCAGAGGGCGCCCACGATGGCTCCTAGTAAGTTGGCGTATTGGAAGGCGGAGATCCACTGAGCAGCTAAGACGTATTCACCATGGTAGTTGTAGCCGTATGTCTTTTTGAAGACATCGAGACCGACTAGACCTTTGACAATACCGCCATCCTATACCAGTTAGGGCTACATCTCACTTCACATGGAGGATAACTTACAATGCCTTTCAAAATGGTCGCCTATGACAAGTTAACAGCTGCTCTTCAACCGAACAAATATAGTAATTTCCTACCAGGTTTATGAACGACGCCCAAGCCACGGCCGGCCAGTGCCGTCGCATGGCTTCCCGGAACCCCAGCGCATGTTCCTTTCGAGTGAACTCCTGTGCAAACTCGGCTTCATCGCTCACACCATCCGGAAGAACCTGAACGACTGTCTGTCGCTTTTCATCTTGAATATTACCCATGGCGGGGTGACGGATTCTATTCTTCTCACATACTGGATGTTCATCTGCTTTTTATGTGTGACGCGCTGCTGTCTTGGCCTTCTTGGCTCGGGTGATTGCGCCAATCGCTTCGGGCAGCATGATGTCGGTACCATTTATTTTCTTGTATGGCTCATCGATGCCATGTGCAGCTAAGCATATCTATATCTCATCTATCTATGATTTGCTCAATCTGTATCCACATGTCAAATGCCGTGCTAAATGCACTGTACTTGATTGGTAGGAGGGAAGGGAAACCCTCCTGTGCTGTCATTCGAGGACCTTGGGGTTTCTGCCGAGACATTTAGTGGTAGTTGGATGCTGGGCAATTGAGCATGTTCTTACATATGCTATCAAATATACTTAGTCAGGTATATACAAGCTAAATGATAATGACATATATCCTCTAGGTCTGCTGGACTTTATAATAGAGATTCTTCTAAATCTTTTATCTTGGTCATTTGCTACACTAAAACTCATGAAATTGTCCCAGTTCTTCTGAGGATTATATGTTCCATGCCTAGTACTAATGTATTAAAATGAAAATCAGACACCTGACTCCACACTATTAGCCCTGCCATCGAATGTATATATTGTTAGTATCAAGGGTTTTGAGACATTATATTTTGGAAGAGACGTGATCTAAGTTTCTCTTGACAAATCTTACATTACACTGTCTCAGTGTACTCCAGGAGCATTAATATGATACCGAGAGAGATCCTTCCTAATCACTAGTAGATTGGTCCTCATATCGAGATGATTCAAGTTGGTGTTCGAACCAATTGACCACTGTGGAACACGCCGACCTGCACAGTATCCGAGCAAAGTCCCATGACCAAACCCAGCTGCGAGCTATCAGTCAAGCTAAGGTTTCAATAACCGCTTCCAACCTGATCATAAGTAGATCACCGGTGTATCGTGTCGCACTGACCATCTTGTTGAAGGCTCCGATGCCGGGATGCCATCGGCTGGCGTGTTTCTCCGTTGCTCCGTGGCATTAGTCAGCACATGGAAGTGCCCTTGAAGACAGTTTCACCAGGTAAAGAGAAACAAAGAATAAGCAATGCTACTGTGACGTAGTGTGTTTGATAATTATCAGATAGTTCCATCACCACTCGCTTGGCGCGGAGTCTGCACATTTCGCTCGAGTCAGCTGGAATTCACGTCGCGAAACACCCGCCGAGAGATACTCCGGATACCTGCGGACTATCTCGCCACACGCAAAGCTTCCAGTCAATCAATCAATGTTTGCATCTATCATCATGTGTCTATTTGCAATTAAGGCTACCAGGAGTCCGGAGAACGCCGCCTCAGGCAACAGACCGGAGACACCGGCTGGCAAGCTGAAATGGAAGGCGGAAAATCTCCGACTGGAGAGAAAAGACGCCGTCCGTGCCTCGTGTCACTCGTGTTGATAATATCACATCGCACTGCTCTTCCACGTTCCAGCTGTGTGACGCTTGTCAGTGCCGCATGCTGCAGGAGAACGTGATTGGAAGGTGAGACAAAGACGGCAATTCAGGCGTCCGACGATCAATCTGACATCCACTCGCTGTCGGAGCTAGACTGTCCCCATGCGCACCGTAGTGACTAAACTAAATTCAAGGTGCGGGGAATGTCAGCAATCTCGCCCAATGCGGCCGGTATAGAGTTCGATTTAGCGGATTTGGCCGGCTTTCATGTGTTTGAGGTCCTTCTAGGCCCATTGCGATGCTGCTCTTATAGTCCGGCTGTGCCCTGCTCCATTTGCTTGCTTTCGTTCATCCTCATCATCGTAAATAATCACAACTTTGGACATCATGGCTTTGGATTACACTGTAAGTGATCAATCATCAATACTCCGATCTGCATGCGATCTAACAGCCCAGACCTTTTACAATGTCATCGACAACGAATTGACTTCCACAACGCAAACCCGTCATGGCATTAACCCAGCCAACTGCCAGCCTAACCCTGAAGTGCCCGTCTCAACGGCAGAAGATCTCGATCGCGCAGTGGACGCTGCTAGCCGAGCGTTTCGTCAATGGTCACGGACCTCGTATGATGAGCGCCGCACTGCCATCCATTCCTTTGCTGATCGCATCGCGGCAAATAAGGAAGGTTTGGTGGGACTTTTGTCCTGCGAGCAGGGCAAATCACTGAGCCAGGCATCGACCGAGCTGGACATGGCCATTCAGTGGACTCGTTCGCTCAGCTCCATCATTGTTCCCAAGACGGTCGTCAATGATACAGACGACCGGGAGGTAATTCAGCGCTATATTCCCATCGGTGTAGCCGCTGCTATTGTGCCCTGGAACTTTCCCGTGCTGCTGGCTATCGGCAAGATTGTCCCGGCTGTGTACACGGGTAATACTATCATCGTAAAGCCCTCCCCATACACGCCATACTGTGGTTTGAAGCTGGCGGAATTGGCAACGCAATGCTTTCCACCTGGCGTGGTGCAGGCTCTCAGTGGGGGCGACGATCTGGGACCGATGATTACCGAGCACCCGGGTATTCAGAAGATTAGCTTCACGGGCTCGATAACTACGGGCCAGCGTGTCATGGCTAGTTGTGCGAAGACGTTGAAGAAAGTGACATTGGAACTAGGCGGGAATGACCCCTGCATTGTGTGCGAGGATGTAGACATTGATGCTATAATTCCTCAGGTGTGTCGCATCTTCTGAGTCTAATACCTCTGCTAACAATGTAGATTGCTTTCCTCTCCTTTTTGTGTTCTAGTCAGATCTGCATGATGATCAAGCGCCTCTATGTGCACGAAAAGATTTACGATGAGTTCCGCGATAAACTCGTCCAGCATGTTCAAAGCTTGAAGATGGGCGAGGGAACCGAGCCGGACGTATTCATTGGGCCTCTGCAAAACAAGATGCAGTACGACAAGGCCACTGACCTTCTTAACAACATCAATTCCAGCGGTCTGAGCACTTTCTCGAGTAATCCTGTCCCAGGCCGGACAGGCTACTTTATCACCCCAACAATCGTTAACAACCCGCCCGAGGCATCCCGAGTGGTCCAAGAGGAGCCGTTCGCCCCTATCCTGCCTCTCCTAATATGGTCCGACGAGACAGACGTACTGGCACGCGCCAACAACACCGACTACGGTCTAGGAGCATCCGTCTGGAGTCGCGACCTGCAACGCGCACGACGCATGGCAGATCAGCTCGAGGCGGGCTCAGTCTGGGTGAACTCACATTTCGAATGTGCGCCATTCGCACCATTCGGCGGACACAAGAAGAGCGGGCTTGGAGTCGAGTGGGGATTGAACGGACTGACAGGATGGTGCAATTCGCAGACCCTGTGGTTACCAAAGCTTTAATCAAATATCCGTACTTCACAAATCAATTTAATTCAATAAAAATTCACAAAATCGGCCACCTAGCACCCACCTTCCCCCCCAACCCAGCCCTCTCCACAACCTCCCTACTCCTCCTCTCTGCCTCCCTCACCACCTCCCCCTCATCCATCGTCACCAACTCGCCCTCCCTAACAACCACCTTGCCATCCACCATCACAAACCGCACATCCCTCCCCGTAGCCGTATACACCACCGCACTAACCGGATTAAACCACGGCTGCATCTCCACGCCCCTAGCATCAATCGCCACAATATCCGCCTTCTTCCCCACCTCCAAACTCCCAATACTATCCTGCAACCCCAACGCCCTAGCCCCATTAATCGTCGCCATCTCCAGCACTTCCTCCGCGCTCACAACCGTCGGATCCCCACTCGTCCCCTTATGTATAATCCCCGCTAGCTTCATCTCCTGCAACATATCGCAGGTATTATTGCACGGTGCACCATCCGTCCCAAGCCCGATATTAACCCCCGCACGCTGTAGATCCGGGACTCGACATGTGCCCGACGCGAGCTTCGCATTGGAGGTGGGGCAGTGCGCGACGTGTGTCCCGGACTTAGCTAGAAGCGAGATATCCCCGTCGTCGAGGTGCACCATGTGTACTAGGACAGTGGAGGGGGAGAGGAGCCCGACGCTGTCGCAGTACGTCATGGGGGTATGGTCGACGGAAGCGAAGAAGTCCCGGTCTGCGGAGACTTCGGCGCAGTGCATGGTTATGGGGATGTTGTGTTTCGCTGAGAGGGCGGTCATTTCTTTGTAGAGGGCGGGAGATACTCTGAGAGATTTGTCAGTTACTACCATAACCAGAGGGCAATATTTAGATGGAGAAAAGAAAAGGGTGTATACCCCCCCGGCGTCCTCGCCCCAAACCAAACCCTAATCCGATCCCCCGCCTTTCCATTCCACTTCTCCCACATCTTCATCGTGCCCAGCAACGACGTCTCCCGATCCTCAATGAGGCCTGGATGCATCGCCCACGCATCATCTTTCGCGTATCGGCCCGTATCCATGACGATCTTGCCCAAGCAGCCTCGGATCCCGCTCTCCTCGACGGCGCGACATAGTCCGTCGAAGCCATATCGGTCTGCGAACTACACATACACAGTGTCATATTAGCACAGCCCACCTACATATAATTGATTCCGGGAAAGAATGGGAGAGAGAGAAATACCATACTCTCCAAAAAACACGTTGTCCCACTCTTCAACATCTCCGTAATACTCAACCTGGCCGCCGCATATCCATCCTGGGGAGTGAAATTTCCCTGCAGGACCCAGATGCGCTCGCACAGCCAGGATACCAGCTCGAGGTCGTCTGCGCAGCCGCGGAGGAGCGTCTGGGCGGTGTGCATATGCGTGGAGATCAGTCCGGGAATGAGGATGTGGCCGGTTAGATCGATGACTTCGTCATCGGGGTATTTGGCTAGTAGGACGGGGGTTTTGTCGATGTCGGTTATGTAACTGGACGAGGTGCGGAGGGCGCCGTTGGTGAGGATTGTGCGGGTCGGCGAGAGGGTTAGGATTGTGGTGTTGGTTAGGAGCATTTTGGTGGGTTTGGGGTGCCAATTGCTATGTTTGGCGATGAGGGATTCGAAGACTTTAGGGGTCTATCGGCTGGCTAGATCTAGGTAGTTTATTTGTGTGATGGGAAGTATTGTCTTATAGATGAGGGGTGGCGGCGGAGGTCTCCGATGCGGGGGTGAAGGAGGATATCCGGATGGGGAGCTGGGGATAGAGATAAGACTACAACGGGTTATCATATCAGATTAACTTACTCCGCACACGGAATTGTATTTGTGATGACATCTCAATGTTGCTGTATGGTTGTACTTCGTTGCATATGAGAAACCTGTACGAGCCTTCAAATAGTCAAAACAGTGGTGCCAATAGCTTTGCAGTCAGGTGACGCATGCAAGGGGGAACTGAAAGTGCGGCTTGCTGTCTAGATATCCAGCCGTCAAACCTTTTTGTCATTATCAATGCACTTCTCACAATGTTTCCCCTCAGAATATCACTCACCATGAACGAGGTTAATGAACATGTACTCAAAACTATGCAAGATTTAACAACAATACGCATTATTATTGACGTTCCTACCGAAATTATAAACCCAGAAAATTATTTGGGATCAGCATTCGAACTCGTTAAACCATTCACGAACAGCTGGGAGAAATACCACGGGGTGCGAAAAATTGTCGTCGATGTGTATCCGCGACATGCATACATTGTGATCGACATCAACAATTTCTCTTATGACTTCAAGCTGGCTCATTTACAGACCTTCACTATCCCAGTCCATATTCTTCGTTTGTCAAGGAAAAGCAAGCAGTGGTCCTTCTTTAGACGAGAACTAGAGGATCGACGAGTCGCCAAGGATATTGCAGAGTTGCACAGGTGTAACGGCCAAAACCAACCCCCCTTCTTTGCAGACCATATTCGAGGGTCTGTTTACCTCACTCCCCGTACAACATGAGGAAATGATGGACGAAATGGGATCTGTCGTATGCAGCGTCGCATCTTTTCGCAATTTTATCTCTTGACTCTTATGATTTACCTGTTCTTCAATGTTCGAATTGGCTTTAGATCGAATTGAGCCCGTGTTCACAACTAGGGGTACGTCCATACTATCACTCGGTTTTCCTTGGCTATTTTCACATCGTTTACGGGTTTTACTGCGGGTTTCGAAAGAAGCGAGGCAATGATAACAATAAGCATTGTTACAATTATTTCTGCTCTTAGTGGTATGTGTGACATTAGTCCCCAACATCTCCTTCTCGGGTAAGGTGCTCCAAGTGGCTTCCGATTGAGCCGAGAAGATCATGGAAAAGGAGTTAAGCAGGCAATTTCAGGATAATGTTCCCGGCACTTGGTAGTACGATCCTCAGCCTACATTTAAATTGTAGATCGACGTCGGCATTTTCATGATATCCTCTCACCGTAGTGAAATACTAATGGAGAACCTTAGTTTGACAGACTAAAGTAGAATGTACCTGGTAAGCACAGAACAAGCATTCTAAGTATATATTCTTGAAATCTAGTGGCAGGTTTGTTCATGTACATGTCAGTTAGGAAACAACTCATTCATCTACCCATCCATTATCAGTGGTAGTAGTCCAGGTCCCGATCTCAATCGTACACAATGCAATTTCAAGATAACGGGGTGACCAGCATACTTCGCAGTGTAGTTGCTAGCAAAATGCAAATCGACGAGAAAATGACCTGGACATGCCATATGACTAAGGATAACGTGCTGTATGGTTCAAGGAGAACCCCTTCCTAATGAAATTAGCCACGACAGACCCTAAACACTATTCTCGGATAAATACCTACCTCAACACTCAAGGCCTAGGAGAAGGCTTCACAGTCTCCCCAAACAAGAAAATAGCTGGCTTGTTGCTAAAATTAACAACATCCCCCATAATCTCCGGCACCTCGGGACTCTCAAATGCTTTCTTCATCCCCTCCTCACTTTCCCAGTGTACTAGGCTACCAACAGCATACGGAGGGGGTGTACCGTCCAAGGAGGGACCAAACTTGGTGACGGACCAGCTTTTGAGGCCGTACTTGGTCCAATGCTTCTCGATTAGCCTCATGTGAACTTTGGTGTAGTAATCGATGTCGTATTTGGCATCGGGCTCGTTGGGGAAGACGACGGTGATTGTGTAAGTCATGTCGACCGATGTTCCTCTGATTAAGATGTTCTCTTGAGAGTGATGGTGTCTAGGAGGATTGAATGTTGGCAAGGAGGCTGGGTGTTTCAATCCTTCTGATTGAGGGGCAGGGTCAGCCTTATGTAGGATTCATTCTGTATATCGATGTGAATTACGTCCGCTAAGTCCGTGAGATTACAACATTTCGGCAGAACTCCGGTGATTTCTAGTCAATTATTCACATCTCCACTAGATATGCAGGACAAGTTGAGTAGACGGGCCTACCCTGGATCCTTGTCCGGAAGCATACCGAAGTAGGACCGAGGCGTCATCATATAAGAGGCAGGCAAAGTCGTGTCTGCTGTGTGTCATGGCCTTGATGCTCTGGTCAATGTGAAGTTATCGAATGTAACATGATTGGTTTCAGCACATAAGATTACTGGTATCTTTGACGTGGAGAATGAATTTTAGGACCTAGCCAAGATATGTTCTTCTTGCCGGAGACGAAACTACACAAGCATGGAGGAATCTATGAGAAGGCGGCTGGCCCTTTTGCCGTCAAGGCTCTCATCAGTGGGGAGAACGGTGAATTGCTTACGGGCCACAACCCGCCAAGCGCTGCAGTTTTTGGCGACAGTATTATCAAAGCTGCTGGGATGTAATTCAGTATCGATGTCTTAGTGCAGCCTCAGTCTCTGTAGGAAAAATCACTTCCTGAGTATTTCATTTCACGTTCTACGCAAGACTGTCGACCATCCAAAATAGAGCGCAAGTATAGTATCTCCTTATGACCAGAGCTGAACACTCCGTAGGGAAACGTCCGATAAACCCTCAATGCACCATGATGGCTACATACATGATGGATGTTGCACTTGATATTTCGATTCTAAGATCCACTGCTGCTAGCCAGCCAATCAGAGCAGAATTGTAAGCAAAGTGCAGCCGCTGCAGAGTAGTAGTCTTCACAGCAAGCACCGACCAATTGCACTGAAATTGTAAGCAGATAGCGTTCTCCACTTTGAGGTACAAACTTGGTCCCTGACCAAGTTGCCTTCAACGCCTCTTCAGATACTAAGCCGTTACTGCAACTCCAGGGCTGAGGTTTTTCTGCACATAGTCGGATTCCAAGAACTATTAGATCCTAGATACCAGATACTGTGAGAAAAAGGCTGGATTCAAGGACTAGGAATACGGAATATTATTGGCCTATAAATGCTTCAAAAGGGTACAAACTACGTTCTGTGGCTCATAACACATTGTCTGGAGTTCATGAATGATTCATCAACATAGGTACAAGTCTCATGTATCGACGAAAGTAAAGATGCGCTCCCATATCAAAGGCTTCTCTCCTCTCCTAGCCCTCCAACTGTTCGTTGAACGCAGAATTTCCGGACACCCTCGAAGAAATACCTCCCACTTCTTAGCAAAATCTTCTGTAACCTCCCAGTTCCCCGGATCCCAGGGTGTTCCCCACACGAGGAGCGTGGCATTACTGCTGCGCGTATCCCAGGAAGCCGTTAAATCGTGGCAGAGCTCATCGTCATCAAGATCATCGCCTGCTCGGATGAGATTATCTCTCATGCTCGGGAACGGGAAGACATCAAGCCATGGATGATGTGGAGTCGCACGCTGTAGGGCTGTTGGGCGCAGGCTGTGGGGAATGCCGACATGATCCTTCGGGACGACATGGGGGCCATCGAGCGAGAAAATGGAAATAGTATCATCGAGACACAGCCACTCGGCAGTCATGCCTAAAGCAAGGGCATTCTGGTAGGCTGCCCGGAGCACGTTCATTCTGCTTAGATTCAGAAGCATGTCGGTCTGTGGGGATCCGCCCAGGTAGCGATGCAAAGCCCCGGTTTCAAAGTCGGCCATCAGCTCGTGAACATCTGGAGGGGCAAATGTGCATCGGACATGCTCGGCCTTGGATAGTCTACATGTAATTGTACCCGAAGGGGTAAGTGGGCTTTGAGGATGTGGAGAGCTCGGTGATGATGGGTTGTGGATACTGTTCGCGGCACCCGATAGAACGCCAGCTTTCCGTTGACGTGCTCCTGTGACGAGAAAAGATGAATTTGTCAGAGAAATATGTCATCTCTATCAATAATAAGGAAAGAGGAGTTCTAATCCTCACGATAGGCCCTCTGATTGAGGCGATTCTGCACTCGGCGCCGTATAACTCGACTGCTCACTCCGCTCCAGTCATCCTCGGGGGCTGCGGCCAGTGCGGGATGTGATAACCGTTGCAGCTGCATTTGGAAGGTTCTATGACACAAATGAGGTTTGGTCTGTTTTTCACCACTACCTACACGGGGCGAGGCTAACAAGTGGCTCTTAAATAGATGTGCAAGATGCTTACACTTCAGTTATCATTGGCCCGTTATCAGTCAATCCGCTGGTGGGGCTGATGGAGGAGTGGGTCGAGGGTCTCTTAACTCCGGTATCCACTGCATGGGTTGTTGTAGGCATATGGATTGTAATTGAATCTGGAATCGGTTGACACTTCTCGACATCATATAGAAATTGAGTCATCATCTTAATTTTACTCCCCTCTGGCGGCATCACTTCCAAGTATATATCATCGCGAGCTATATGGAGTTCTATGCCAACCCTCTTTCCAAACACTAGGATATCCGGACATTCTATCTGAGGACATCTAACGGTAGGGTCATAACAACACGACCAACTCAATACCATGTCGCCTAAATAGACCTACACGTTTCCTGACCGAGACACAGTTTTATCCATCACAGTCTGGTACCTGCATACTACTCGGCGATGTCGAAGAATCAGACAAATTTCTTGGGTTTAATTCACCCACTCCGTAGGATTCTAGATCGGCCGAATATTGCGTGGCTTCTCAACCCAGTCGAAGTCGTGCTGTGGATGGTACCCAGAACGTCAAGTGCATTGTTCATCGTGCAGTTTACGTCGTGCTCGCTGTGTGGTGTACAAGGTCATGGCGTTCAGACGAGGGGAGACCCGGTTGCGGCGAGGGGAGCATGCCAGCAGGAGTCGGGAGGCGCGTGATTCTATTTATGAAGGCGAAATAAATCACCGCTTGGGAAGGGAGTGGTTATCCTGAGGTGTTAGAAACTGCATTCCATGTGGTTCTTTTATACGGGTTGTTTATAATGCTACCTGATGGGACATGACGGAGATAAGCTCAAACCCCGGAAGATGCGGGCAGCTTACACCCTGAATGCGGGTCAGATCCAATTTTGGGTTTGGATGGGGCACTTGGCAAGTCCTAATCATAAGTACGACATTGCATCGGACGCAACAACCAATTGGACAGCGATTTTGTGGTCCTTAACAATCGATCAAGCACAAAGGAACAATGTAAATAGCTCTCGGCTTGCATGCATGATGTACTGCCTTACCTCTTAGTGAGCGTCGAAGTTGTAGACACCCATAAAGTCACTCAGCAGCGAGCCACTTTTCGGAACATAAAAATATTCTCTCTTCTCAGCTTTTTTTTTGTTTTGTTGTATGAAGAAAACAACGATGAGTTGACTACCTCAATCAACATAAGATTAGTCATGTCAGGCAAAGACTGTCATAGTTGCGAAACAATTAATCGGTCTCCGGAGTACTATTCTTCCGTTCGAGAATGTTGTAATATATCTATGGGGTATTTCTATTCCCATCGCCATCCTGCAAGCCAGAACGAACATCAGTAGAACACCGGGCCAAGGCTACACCACGAACAATGCATGCGAATGAGTTAGTCCCCATCGAATTTCACTAACTGATCAATACTGTCAAATAATCCTATACTCACATGCTACACTAGAGAACCTTTCAATTCCGGGTGGGCATCCGGATCCTCACAACATGGAGGATCTGAGGCAAAAAGGCGCAGTGGATATGTTCCCCCCTATATGCGCTCGCGCATCATCCCTGATGTGAGAAGGCGACTGGATGACGAATGGATCTTATTGAAAGAGAAGTTGTTTGGTTCCTCTGAAGGCACGGCAGAGCTCTCCGATGACCCAAAATAGAAACATAAATCTGACGATGAGGCATCTCCTGATCATCCATCTAACAATATGCCTTCAGCTGAGTCGTCGTGCGATCCTGGATTGTCCGAGGATAGCCCATACGAGAGAGAATGCTCTGATGATGAACGGTCTGATGATGGATTGCTCGATGATCCACCCTTTAACGATGAGCCGTCCAATAATAGTTCGTCCCAAAGTCATGGGTTCTGGCAATATATCTGGGATATCTGTTCTAAGGTCTGGGATGGTATCAAGACCGGATTTCAAAAGGTCTTTGATGCAATCAAATCCGCGTGTGCTTGGTTATGGGATATTATTTTATCTGAGGCTGGCAGCTGGGTCGAGGAGCATCTGGACAATTTTCTCTCCAATATTACGCGGATATTTATGAGTTCCAATCGGCGAAACATGAGGTGATACGTGTCTTTGTTATAAATGGATTATTATTGTCATGCTTTTCTTTGAGTGCAATGAGGTGATGGATCGGAAAAGGATTATCTGTGAAGGGTCTAATATATGGATTTCAAGTCCAAAATCGAACTTTTCCTTTTCACAATTGATAAAAGCACTAGAGCAGTAAAGTAAGGCTACCTTCACATGAAGGCGCTCTATATACTGCCAGAACTAATCTCCGTAGGAGCTGAGTTATCTGTGACATGTGCTTTGTGCGATAGTAATCTTGTCTAACACATTACAATCAACATTTCAGATGTATTTGTTGCCTTACGACAATGAAGACGAGCAGATAGGACTATACATCCTTGAAATTAGAAATCCAGACTAAAAGTAGACAGGCTTGCCGGTATCTTTTGATATCTACTCTACAAATCTATATTATGTTACAGAATGATGAAATGTCGCATATTGTAGAATCGAGAAAATCACGAAGTAACAAAGAACCTTAAGTGACAGACTTGGGTACTAGTACATGAATGCACTCGCTAGAAGTAATACTTCGTTACGGACTAAGTACTATGCTACTTGTCCAATCTTAGTCTCCAAAATTATCAAAAGTGGGAGAATTTAGAGCCACTGGTACTTCCTGATGCTGAAAAAGATGGTTGCGTCTCCAAGGTAAACCAAAGCCTGTATCAACTTTCGGAATCATCCTGGAAAATAAGAAGACGAAGAAATAAACTACCCTGCTGTTCTGCACATAAGATAGGTAAGGTCTTATTAGACAGCTGCAAACTCCAGCATTGCAAATTAACTTGCCCCACCTAGGGAATAGGGCTGGGTTACACAATGAATGACGGGTTGTCAGGCTGTCTAGGCATATTGACTCATGCACCCCTGCTACATCGAAGTGAAGGAAGTACCCGATGTAGTCTAATAGTATTTAAGTTTCATTATAGCCCGAGAGTCATATAAGAAAGAGCGTCAGTTGTCGAATGCAGATTCAGCATAAAACCCATCAACTAGAAATAGCAAGTCACTTTAACTGTGGGCACGTTCATACCAAGGGTCAGAACTATGGCTAGTAAGTACCTGATTGTTTCGATCATTCCTTCATAGCCATTTGGGGCATTTCATTTCTAGCCCCAATTATAATGTACTAATATTGTCTATCACAGACCTAGAGAGCAGCATTCATAACCCCAAAACCCGCCCTCCGGAAGATGAAAAATACAACGAGATCGAAGGAATCGACTACACCGCCGGGTATGTAAAGCAGCTCAGCTCAGACGATGAACTCCTTGCCGGAGCCTGGGGCATGAACGCCACTACAGAGATATGGGACCTATGCTACCGGAGCGGGCCACGGATGGCGAAAATTCTCGAGGATTTTGTCAGTAGCATGAAGCCTTCAAAGAGGGCCTACGACGACGCAAGGGACGTCCTGACTATTGACATGCAGCTATTCTATTGGTCCCAAGACATGGCTTTTATATCCATCTTCGATGATACAGAACCTCCCCGATTGGACTGGGACAAGGTCACGATGAACAATATTGTAGGAATCACTGCGATCTGGACTTTACATGAAATGGCTAGGATCAAGCCGGGTATGTTCCGCCACACATATCAATACGTCCCTGGAGAGAGGAATCCGTTCAAATTGGATGCCTATGATCTTCTTCATGGAATAATGCTTTTGCGCTGGGTGCTTCGCACCTGGAATTATGATCGTGACCGACGACCCGACAGACCTCGGCCGTTGAGGGCTAAGGAGAGACGGTTTTGGAGACCGAAAGCACGGGTTATATCGTTCGCACCATTGCCTGAGCCGGAGGATAGTGACATGATGGATCTTGATTGAATAGTACTATAGCACGGGATGATGTGATACAGCGGGGCTTTGAATTGATCCAGTCTTGGCTTATAGGGCAATTCATAAGCTGCGCTGTCAATGCTGGCGAGAATAAAACTTCTTACTAGATACAAAATGTGCCTACTTTACTATATCCAGCCACATGTTGTGGCATGCTTGGGTAGAAAATAGTAGTAAAATCAGTCTTTCCCATATGACTTGATGGACCTTGACAGATCTTTTAGACCGGTGAGGAAAGCGGACCACATGCCCACATACTCAGGATGTAAATAAACACCGTTTACTCTTCCTTCGAAAATGGCAGATCTGTGCCAGTGGAAGCATTGAAGTCCTCATACAGCGACTGCATGTTCTCATAGCTATTACTCCAGCATTTCCTGATGATATTTTCACAAAGCAATCCAGTTGTCACAGGGATATCCTCTGGTTCTGGCCAGCGATCTTGTTCAAAAAGTCATACCAGAAGGCACGCCATGCTGCGATAGAATAAATGATGCATCCGATGCCGAGTATGTCGACTCGTGGAAAAAGTTCTTCCATGTAGATAGCTTCCATATCAGCATCCAACGCGTATATCTCGGCATTGCCAAAGTCAGCCACCTTCGGGCTATCATTATGAACAAGTATATTATTGGGTTTGACATCCTGATGGAGAAACTTGCAAGAATAGATATGCCAGAATGTCTCGACTATTGATTGGATCCATGAGGCGCGAATTGCTTCGGATGGCTTATCGTGGTTTCCAATATATGTTTCAAGATCTCCTTGCTGTGCATAAGCCAGCTTGATTGCGCCTGTTGACTGATCATGCACGCCCAGGTATGGTATAATCCCTTTATGATTTCCCAGGCGCTCGTAGATTTCTTTCTCGGTACTGATCATGTCGCGGTACATCTCATTATAAAGCTCATTATCGAGAAGGTACCTCGGATGCTTGATGATGGTATCTTGATCGGCTTTGCAGATATATCCGGAGTAGCCCATGGCGATAAAGTTTGGCGGCTGCTTCAGGTGCACAATTTTCTTGTTGCATTTAGCTTGTTGATCGGTATGCAAGTGGTCGAAGATAACGTTGGGTGTTTCTTTGGAGGATTCAGCAATCTAGCTTGTCGGATTAGTAAATTGTGATTACTGCCCATTTGTTGGGATACGGAAACGCGGGAAATGTGTCTTTACATTGTCAGACCCATCATCATCGCCAAAATCTGGTCTGGCAGTCTCTTTGGGCTGGGATTGGAAGAGATTGATTCCAATGGAAAAATGGGAGAGTAAGACCCAAAGTGACGTCCATACACGCCAGCGAAACGGATTTGTGAAATGAAGCATGATGGAATCACACTGCGGAATTCTGCGACCAACAGTTGGAAACAGGTCCATGCTACGGATGTCATGAAGTAAACGCTCACTGTTATAGCTCCAGTGAGGTGGTGAGAACTAGCACAATTAGCCATCTAGTATGTCAATGTAGTGAACACAACGTAGCTAAGGCCGACATGGAGAAATTCACAGTTTCACGCCGACTTACTAAGCTAGGCAAATCCAGAACGCGTCAGGCGCGGCCATAGAAGTCAAATGATCTTTGAAATTTGAACCATATACTGCTGTTGCTTCTCGGAAAAAAGGAATAAACCTCGTCTAGAAGAGTCTGAAATGGATTGACCAAGAGAGTTAAATGAAATAATTACTAAATTTTGCGCACATTAGGCCTTCAGATTATAGCTCAAGCTAACCATCTCGTAATATCCTCGTGAACTATGCACTGACCTTGATACTATGGGGCTGAGAAGCAAGTGTGGAGCTCGAACCCCCAGCCCCAGTGGCATCATCATCCTTGCGTCTCTTGGGATCCCTTTACTGACGGCATCTGGGACAGACAGAGATATCTTTTGCCATGACCACGAGTGGCACCCTTGGAGGTTGTAATTGGGTGCTTGCAGGACGAGCCTCTTTCAATCGCGGGCTTGCACCAGTGGATCTTTTCCTCGCCTTCGGGCATCCTGTGCCAACAGCTCCAAGTATACACGTTGGGAAGCTCTTTTTGGCACATTGTTGTCTGAGATATAATGCGTAGTCTGTGTTGTGGTGTCAGTAACTATACCAAATGGACCTTTCCTGCCAGGAAAAAAATACATACGTGGAGGTTCTGATGGGAAATTCTGTGTAGAAAGAACCCAGTAGGCATGTATATGAATCCACGGAGAACTCACAATGGCAGTATTTATATGAACTAGTTGGTGGCTTTGAGCCTCGGAGCCTATAGATTAGTTAATTCTGGGGCGTTGAATATAGAGTCTGCTTTGTCAATTGTGACAAGGATCAGAACCAAATAACGAGGATTCCAGCAGTCTGCCGAGAGAATTCAGGCCCATGATTGTGACATGTGTTCATAGATTCACAGACACGACGACCAATCTGACCAACCCCGATGGGTGCACTCTCGTTGCCTTACTAGACAGGAGCATTCGTAATGAAGCAATGCGTAATGAAACACAGATGGTAGCCAAGAGGCGACTTTACCTTCGTACTGAAATATAGTTCACACTAAAGACGAAGAGGGGAAATCTGTATCATTTTGAAAGGCCAGTTCCGCCAGCAAATATCACGCTCATCCTCCTCAAAGTTTGCGGGTTCTGTACCACCTTCGGGGTCAATACCTAAATCGTTCCTGATAATATCCAGGAGTTCTTCGCACTCATTCACTCATTTGCTTCCTCCATTGCTGTGTGCCGTTCCTGATCAGAAAAGACCACCGGACACCGTTCTGACGTAATCGCGTCCCAAACTTGCGGAGTTGTGATACCAACAAGAGTAGCACGAAGATTGATGACATCTCCATCCCAAAGGTATCCTGTTTGTTGATGTATATATTGTCGCATGCTAAGGTGCGGGATCTTCAAGGCGCTCCAGTGGTTACCATTATACAACCCAGTAGCTGCCGTGTAGTAGAGGTTTGCTTCCTCGGAGCGAAATTTAGCTTTTGCTTCCATCTGTTCCTCGCTGCTCATATCGTAAAATTTATGTGGGAGAAATGGAGCCTGTAAGGTTTGAGCCTTCGACGAATCATGCTCGCAAAAGGCTGGGTAGCCTGCTTGCAAGAACAGTGGGAAGATGATGCTATCTTGCCAGTCTATAATGCTCGCAATCTTTGCGGAGCCAGGCTCCAGTAATATATTATTCAGAGTCAAGTGAGGATGTCGTAGAATGAGAGCATTATGAACTGTGTCTTTTGGTATCAAAAAAGTGGCAAGTTGCAGGAATTTTGAAAGAAGCGAGGTATGCTCCGAAGGGTCGATATCGAAACTGGTAGGAAGGAGAAAGGTTCTTCGAGGTTGAGGCTTCGCATACTGCAGTGTGCAAGTGGTCTCTCGCCGAGCAGCAGATGTAAAGCAGCCTTCAGGTGAGAGCCCTTTGCAAGGGTTAGCTTCATAACAATAACTTCAGGGAAACACTAACAAGGACCGCGATCAATCTTGGTATTACTTCGATCACCATGCCAGAACTACCGCGCAGCAATAGGACCAATGCAGAAGTCTTCTACCGAAAGTGGTATGATTAGTTCCTCTTCCAGCTCTCTCTTGCGATATAAGCTTCCGTACCCTGTGAATGGATACGCAAAAATCCTCGCTTCAATTTCCGCTATTTGTTTCATCAAACTAGCCACATCCGCTGTAGTGAGAGATAACCATCTTGATGCAACGCTCACGCCTTTTACCCGCTTCATTATTATATATACTGATCCAACTGGATTGGTCGAATCTGCCGAATATGCCAGTACTCTTGGGACCGGAACTCCTAGAATATCTCGCAAGAAGGCCATCGTAGCAACCTCGCTGGCGGTGGTGTAGTGGGGTGGGCCGGCAATGGGAGTGGGAATGCGTGCTATGACTTCTTTACCAGAATTTGTTCTAAATAGGAAGACTTTGTTGAAGCCACCTTCTGCGAGTTTGAAAATATGGGAACAATGGTCTTCTCCCATTGCTTTCCCAGCAACGCGCTGAAGCTCGATCGGGTCGAAGTTCACATATCTCTCTTTCAGCCGCTCGTCCTCGTTCATTCTTATATATTTTAGTAGCTTATGGGCAATAGAGGTAGGTTAGGCTTACATCCATCTTCGAGACGTGTTTCTGAAGCAGTTATCGTACGTAGATGATCTGCTAGACAGATGAAGGCGTGACGGCAACGATATGACAAGTTCCCTTGTGCACCATGGTGTAAATATAGTGGATGAAAGTGCTCGCCGTCTGGAAATGCATACGCTCTGGGCATTGAACATTTCAGTAGGGGTAGTGTGGAGATGCTGGTACCAAGATACTGATGGTTAGCCAAGACGTGTTAGCGCTGAGGCTGTTTGATAAACATTGCCTTAACAGGGGGTGTTATTCGTTCTGGCTAGATACAGAGGGATCAAGAAGCATTATTGGCTTTCACAGCCCATAATCAAGGGTAGTAGTTACACTAATGAAACGGGAATTACGTACCTCAAAGCCAGGAACTATCAAAACAAAGCTTTCTCACCCAATCAAGCTACCGACACTTAATCCTTCCCCGCGAAACGGGGCTATGACAGGTGCGGATCAGCCCTACATGCCGCCTCGGTATGCCCTGTACGCAATTCACCCCACCGCATCACATCACCAACCACCATTCACCCGCCCATGACTCCAACATTCACCAACATGGCTAACCAGCTGAGTGAACATCATCATAATTATAGCATCAGGTCAGGCAACCATGTTTCACCGCCAATCCCCCTGATGACGTCATCCTGGGCCTCAGCCACTCCCCACTTTGTCTCCATTTCCAAATAAATACCCCGCCTGTCAGCTTCTCAGGGTCCCAGGGTCCAAACACCTCCCACTCCAACTTTATCCGTCTTTCATTCTCTCTAATACTCTCATCATGCCTGGACACTTCGGCCAGAAAATCCTCAACACCCTCGGAATCGACCATCATGGTCACCACGGCCATGGCCAAGGCCAACCCTACCAACAACCGCCCCCACCAGGCGACAACCGTCTCGCCGGCAACCGCGTCATCCACAATGACGAGCGCCTCCTCTCGCCCCACCCCGCAGGCACCTACCCACGCCTCGCACGCCTTCACGACGGTCGCATCCTTGCCTCATTCACGCGATTCGTCGGCGGCGGTGAACGCGTCCTAATGGTCTCAATCAGCGAGGATAACGGCCAAACTTTCACCGACCACGGTGAAATCACCCGCGGCAAGGGCGACGTTGACAACGTGTACCTTCTCGAGATCGGACCTGGAACTGTCCTTGCTGCCTTCCGTAATCACGATATTGGTCCTGGTGGCCCTACACACTTCCGCATCACTGTTTGCCGTTCCACGGACGCCGGGCGCAGCTGGTCCTTCGCCTCCCAGGCCGCAGAGAAGCCCGCCCCCTTGGGTATCTGGGAACCGTTTATGAGACTGGGTCGTCGGCCGGGAGAGATCCAGCTTACGTATTCGCAGGAGTTTGCGCATAACAACCAGTGCACCATGCTGGTGAGGTCGTATGATGGGGGTTCCTCGTGGTCGGCACCGCAGTGTCTGCACGGGGCGGAGGATCAGCGCAGAGATGGTATGAATGGTATTGCGAGGACGTGGGATCAGGCGAGGAATTGCGAAGCGTTGGTTATGGTCTTTGAGACGACCACGTATGGCACGTTCGATGTTGAGGCGCTGGTTAGTTATGATGATGGCGAGACGTGGGGTGGCAGGCAGCAAGTGTATGTGCCCGCGCAGGGACATAATGCTGGGGCCCCGCAGATTGCTAGTTTGGGTGATGGGTCGTTGGCCGTTATCTTCATGTGCGATGAGGATTTTGACGAGGTAAACTGGACCAAGAATGCTTGTGTCAAGGTCGTCTTTGGGTCCATGCCCCATGAAGGGAGGATTATGTGGACGAGGCCCACGACAGTGTGTCGGGATTCGAGTCACTGGCCGGGTATCTTCACTCTCGATGACAGACGGTTGTTGGCGCTGTATGAGTGTGGTGGACCTAAGGCGAAGACGATTGCGTTGGAGTGGTAGTTGCTATATACCTAATTAACGGCGACATTGCATGTAATATGAGTTTAGCTTGATTGATGGAAATGACATGTTATTCTCAGGACGGTTCGAGTAATGAGAGTGTGCAACCCCATAGTACGACCGTTGCCAGATCTGTAGCTGGTATTATGTCTGCAAGTATGTGTCTTTTAGACGTGCTCTTGACACTTCATCTCTTCGCAGGCTGCAACTCATCGGCGACTGCTTCGATCACTCCCATTCCGACTGTCATGTCGACGCTTGTGTCTCCTCCCTGAGCTACGGGAGCTCTGACCAGAGGTCCACGAATAAACCGAGTAGAAGTCACTGCCAGCCACGGATCCAGCCTGGGATGCAGTGCTGTGCCGACTCTTATGTCGACGCGAATGATGTCGGATAGTATGCTGTTCGGTCTCTCCAGCTGATGCGACTGTCGAGGCGCGCTCCAACTCATCATCTGTTTCTCGACCAACGGCTTCCTCATATATGTACTCGTCACCACTCACTGGATCTTCTGCCAGCACATCACGCATCTTCTCTTGCACTTGTACCTGCTCGCCAGGTTGTCGTATTGGCTCATCGACGGACTGATCATGAGTCACCAATCCGTCCGTCTTCCCAATCTCCCCATCATGCAATACCTGCATCCCCAACAACCTGGGATTCTCATCCTGTCCAGTCCCTATTCCAAACACTATTACCCCATCAGCACCTCAAATCAACGGCTCCGAAATAGGACAACTTACATTGTTCCCAAAACCCCCTCTGCGGCTTCCACAACCCCACATTCCCCAACTCGCCCTCCCTCACCCCCGGAAGAAACATTCTTACCAACGGCACCCCATTATGCACATCACAATAAACATCGAACGGCTCAATACTCTCCACCGGAAACTTGATCGGCGTCTCCACCGTAATGGGATAGTACGCCGGAACAAGTAACCTGAAATGCACCTCCCCTTCCCCGCCTCCTCTCCCCACACCTGCCCTCCTCATAGCCTGCATATAAATAACCACCGCATCCAAACTCCCAAATATCCCAATGAACCGCTCACCCAGCACGCCGCGATTCAGAACCAAATCCTCGAAATGATGTCGCCAGATCGTGTCCGGGTGGTAAACGAGGTACCATATTGAGGACGGCTCGGATTTGATTTTGTGTTGGAGCATATTGTACACGAGGGTGGGGAATTCGGATGCGACGCGCAGTGCATTGTCGCGGGCGAGAGTGTCGGAGATGGTGCCCAGGTGGGAGGAGATTTGGCGTAGTTGGGTGTTGGTTTCGAGGGCTTGGTGGATGGTGATTGCGGCAAGGGCGGGCGGTGCGAAGCTGCTGGCCAGGGTGAGGGCCGTGCTGGCGTAGAGGGGGTTGTCGCCGTGGGAGTCTTGGGCGATCAGTATGGTGGAGAGCAGGTCGTGGGTGGTTTTGGAGATGGTTGTTAGGGTTGTGAGGATGTTGGGGAGGGATTTAAAGACCATTTTTGGTCTTTTCTTTCTCGGTTGTAGACGGGATCAGTGGTAGTGATGATGGGTGTTTCCGTGGTTTAGTATTAGTCTTGAATTGGGGTTTGGGTTTATTTACGATCGTGATATGTGATTCTGTGGAGCTGTCCACGTTGACGCATTCAAGTGGGGTGGTTAGAACGAATTGAAACGGCCCTTTATCACTAAGCACTGAGGACAACTCATGGTGCTGATTGTGGACCAATTATTTTGATTCGCCTCACTTTGGGTGTATATTTTTGGTGATAATGTTATAAATTATTCGGTTGCCCCCGATTTCAGGCTGCTTTGTTGTTTGTTCGTTCCGATGTTTGTCGAATTGCCAAGAATAAAGAGTTGCTTTCAAATGTGTGGGATTACCCGCGCAGCTATTGTAGCAGATATGGGCAGAGCCCCTTTATTAATGTCATATACGGGAGTTTCCGATGGGGCCGTGCTTATTTTGATTGTAATTGAAGGGACTTATCAGTGATCAAGAATGATTGGTACCGCTAAGTTACACCTATATGAAACAGTCTTTCACATGGAGAACTTCAGATATACAAACCATGGCATAACAGTCAAAAGATCGTACGGTGCTCACCGATATGGCAGAATAGCAAGCATGTAACACAGTGGGGGTTTCCTCGATTCAAGCTCTAGCAACGGACTTCATGCTTTATTTACATGCTTTTGTGATCCCCATGGTTGCTCTTGTGTTGATATAAGTATGTAGTCCTTGTACCTTGGATGTCACTTCCTCTATCGACTCATCGTTGACCCGTGGAGCATTTGTCATACTCTATTTTCTTCCCAGGCCATCGATACATAATGCTTTGACAAGCCCCTGTTTTTCTGCATAACCAGACTTCTTATAACCCATACTCTTCCGATTACTGCAATATCACTACATCATGTCGGGAAGATTCATAAGCAACAACTTGAATCCATCCGGTCCACCCAGACAAAATATGATAGGCATCTTTGGCCTTCCCGGATCTGGAAAGACCCATCTTCTGAATCAGCTCCGAAGGGAACTTGAGGGGGGCCCTTTTTCGTTTTATGAGTACGAAGAGGTCAAAAAAGCCTGCCCTGTTCACTGGTTTGCCTATGATAGCGCCTTTGAATCCATCAGTCATGAATGTGATGATGCTGGGGTCACAGGGATCGCCACAGCTAATTACATGCAACCGGACGATTTCGGCGACCATCCATACACGACACTTCTGGATGATGGTACCCTCAATAGGCCATTCACGCATATCATGTATGTGAACACCCCTGTCGAGGTAGCCCATCAGCGTTGTATGGAGGACGCTGAAAAGAATCATCTTACCTGGTGTTCTCTTGATTACTTTCGCAAATGGGCCGATGAAGAAATCATTGGGCTGAAACACACGTGTATCGACCGGAGGATCATGTTCACCATGGTCGATCCTCATGACCTTCCGAAGATTATCACCCTCATTCACACCTTTCAGCTCGATCGAAATGAAGAACACAATCAAGGCATTGTGGATCAGTGTATTGACGAAGTTGTAGCTCCTTGGCAAGGGCAGGTGGGGAAGGTCCTAGTCATGGACTGCGATGGAGTCTTCGCACCCAAATATGAAGAGCAGACCTTCTGGGAAATGTTCTATTTTGGCGAGAGTAATGACAAGGGACCCCGTCCCTTGCCAAAGAGACACCCGTGGTGTGGATTTAATGGGGATTACTCGGAATGCCGTCAATCAAGCTTAGCGTACGAACAAACTGTGGCCGACGGCCGATTTGACGAGGCCTGTGGAAAGGCTGCGTCTGTAGTTTCTCTCTATCCCGAAATAAGAAGCTTTCTGCATCGTGTCTCGAAGTGTCCGCGCCTTCGCATCATCCTGGTGACTTCCAGACTCCGCTTGCTGTGGGAAAGGGTTCTGGCGCAAGAGGGTCTCTCGCAATCTGTCAAGATAATTGGCTCGGGCCCACTATCCAACGGTTATATCGTCCCCCCTAAGGCTAAAGACAAACTGATCGAACGCCTCAGGACAGTGCATAACTTGCAGGTATGGGCGTTTGGAGGCCACGGTTCAGATGAGCAGATGCTTCATCAAGCACATTATTCGATCATCCTTCGCCGCCCAGATAATCCCTGCTATGAGAGATCATGGTTATGGGGCGTGGCTTTGAGATTGAAGAATTCGAAAGATTGCATAGATTCAACCACCCTCCATCTGAAGGAACTCGAGGAGCCAGCCTTTTTGGATCAAATCATTCAACATCAATTTACCCTTGCCCACGCGACCCACAAGGGTGTAGCAAAGTTGCTGCATACCAAGATGCTGAGAACGATATACTTCCCCGATCAGTGTTTGGAGGAAAAGGTCTATCATGAAGTTGGATGGTATCTTGCCAGTGAATACATAAGCGAGCTAGGAGGCGTTGAGGAGGCTGCTATTGATGTCTTCGAGGAGCCCAAAGCCACTGGCTATCAACTTGTCCGTGAAAGCGGCATGCTCACTATTCCCCTAGAGGGAGGTAGTCACCAAATGGCCGCTGGAATTCGGGATGTCTTTCAAAGAGCTTGCACCCTGCGGACAGTTTACCCAGAATACATCGATGATGACCATCTACGGGAAATACACACTGTTGTGCTTGTGGAAGCTGTCGTGGATAGTGCTGAAGTTATCACGCGTTATGTCAACCACATCCACAGAGTGAAGCCATGCCTTCCTATTCTCGTTGTGGCCGGAATCATTCAAGCTGAGCTGGTTGCACCGGGCGGACCGCTGCATTCTCTCATTCGAGGCGGCCCCATCACGGTGGTTGCTCTAAGTCTAGCCAAAGGCAGAGAAATGACTACCGAAAGCTATGTTTATGAGACTGGTCGCATTTCCTGAGGCGTACCTGGTTTTTCTGGGAGATTTTATCGTGACCCTTATCCATGTTCGACGTCATCATTGTTTCTCATATCGACTGTCCAGCTACCTGACTACTAAATTGGCAAAGTTTGAATTTGATATATAGTACTAAATCGAGAACTAATTACCCTCCTCACTACCCCCTTATATAAACATTCCTTTAGTACCAGTAACTGCTATCCCCCAGAACAATACCCATCTAACCTTCCCACCACAACCCCTACAATCTTCTCCAATCTCCGCGCAACCCCAAATTTCCTCCCAAAAACCCTCAGTAACTCCACCACCAGCCCCAAATCCTCCACAACTTTACTCTCCCTAACCACAACCCCCAACTCATCCGGCCTCGCCAGCGTAGCATACATCAACGCCACCGCGCTCTGAAACACCCCCAACAGATTCAGCCAGTTATACGCGAACCGGCCCTGTCGATGCAGATTCATCGCCTGCCGGATCGCCATGGCAGCGGCTGTCGCTAACACCTTCACTTTCTGTTCGTCTAGAGAGGGGAATAGAGGAGAGGGTCGGTATAGCATCGTCATGTGCGTGTAGTAGTTTAGATCGAACCACGCGCTGGTCAGGTGTGGGATTGGCGATGGGGTTGGTGGAAGAGGAAAGGGCATGGTGCGCCGCCACTGGAGGAGCTTTTTGTGTAGGGTTTGGAGGGTATTATTCCGGTCTTGATTGGGTGTGTTGGTTGGGGAGTGCAGGGCGGTAGTGATTTCGCTGGCGATGCGGCGGAGGGAGAGGATGTGGAGGGGTATAGAGAGTTCGGTTGTGTGGGTTGGGTCGTCTGTTGTGGTGGTGTCGGTGAAGGGCTGTAGATTGTTGGTTAGTTTTAGGTGGAGACTATGATTTTGGGGTGCGGTGGAGAAGTGGGAGTTACTTCGATGTCAATGTCGTTGTCGTGGATGGCGAAAGGGCGGCCTAAGGCTATGGAAACTACTCTGTTATTCTTCGTTAGTGGATATGGGACAAGGTGTGGAGATATGGGACTGATACCTATCCATCATGTATAGAGAGAAGAATATCCGCTTGCGATACTCGATTACGTCGGACGGAAGATTGGCATAGCTTGAAGAGCTGTGTAGACCTATACCGATGGCCATGCGGGCGGCAACCCCGACGAGGAAGAATGTATCTTGAATTTGGTTAGTAGAATATAGATCAGGTTGAGGGTGAACGTACTTGGACCAACTTGGTTGAAGAATGAATATGAGACTTGCAGCATCATGACCTCTAGCGCAGCCTGACTGGTCAGACAGTGGACTTTTGTCTCTGAGGGAGAAAAATAACATACCATATCGCCCAAGCCAAGAGCCTCCTCGAAGTATACCATCGCCTTGTTATAGTACAGCACAGACTCCGACTCGTCCCCCAACGTCACAGAACAGTGCGTCGTTGACCCGATGGCTAGAACCATCCAGATGCGGAACATCCATAAGGCAGAACCTGCCAGCGGGTCTTGTGGATTGTTGTATACTCGCCATATAACGGATGCGAACTCGGTTTGGCGGATTATAGGGTACAAAGTGTGGGAATGTGCAAAGTAAAACTCCATTAGATATTCGATATGTGCCCTATCTGGGAACTGCAAATCAGCTAGCGTTGTCTCGTCTTCCATGACGTGTGATAGAGGGAGTTGGTTGAACAAGCATGGCGATGAGAAGGAGTTGTTAAATTCCCAGAGCGAAGTTGACACATCGAGTAGAGGATCTGAGAGAGGTCCATCGTATTGCTCTGTAGACTCATCAGGAGTATCGTCGAATACAAACTCGGCTTTGTCGGGGGATAGCCGTCGTAAGACTGCCTGGGTCAGCTTGGCGAAGGATAGTCCCGATGAGGAACCAAGATGTCGTTCTGCTGCAGCTTCTAGGGACAGTCGCTTGAGCTCATCGACCAAAAAGTCCGATCGGCTGTGAGATGGAGGAGTCGCAAAGGGCAAGGTGTCACTGATGTCTGTATCCGGGGGTGTCGCGAAGTTGATTATTGGCTGGTCGAAGTCATGGTCGGGTTGGAGGTTAGGGTATGGCGATGATACTAAGGCCGCGGAAAGTTGCTTTTCTAGCTCCTTAACGCGAGTCTCCAGTCCTTGTACGTATCTTCAACCCTACAATCAGCGGACGAACTCAGGTTACTGTTAGCGGACCTACGCGATTGGATACGTGCCGACTTGTCGATCATCATCGAGAAAACTGCATTCTACCTGGGCATGGATACAGGTCTCACATTGTGGAAGTGTACGGTCGCAGCGCTTCTTCCGTCGGTGGCAGCGACGGCAAGAAGTGCTTGCACGGGCTGTACTCGAGGATGAAGGCATTTTTGGATGGATGAAGAGGGGAAAGAGGGGAGGCCAATGCCTTCACCCTCTTATCTGGACTTCTCCGCATTTCTTATCAAGACGCGGCCGCGATATGCGGTTGACGATGCATGATTGGCGTCGAGGTGCAGTAGTGCCGTGTGGATTGATAAGACGCTAGTGCGTAACGCTAAATTGTCCGATTACAGGATGGCAACGGGCATCTTTGCAGTTGCTGATGGGATGGGAGTACATGCAGTACCTGTTACTTACCTGCCGAGCCTGATGGATGAACAGTTTGCGTGTCAATCTCTTGGATGGTCCCAGATTCACAAAGTACCAGTTTGCAAAATATCCATGGTTTGATAATTATACACTTATAAAGGTCTATAGCAAATCAAGATCACCACCATCCCTGATGTATATGTTACCTATACGCTTGCCCCATGAATGCGACTAATGAAATTTAAGATTGAGTAGAATTCCAGTGCTCAATACAGTCATTGAACAGAGTCCACTTCATGTGAGCTAGTTCAAGCAGGAAGGACGTGGGTATGGGTGGGCAGCCTTGGTGGGCAGCCTTTCTACTGACTGTACTAGCCGTATGGTCCTATTCTGCAGCGTTATTCTCTCCCGGTTACACATGACCGCGCTGGAACCCTAACAGTGATTTAGCATATGGCCAGGCTCATATATGCACCTCTATTATTCCTAGTCGAATAATCAGGCCTTACCATAACACTATATATCTGCAGAACACACGATTAGATCCCAGATTGTATCGATATACGAGGTGTTATGCGTGATGCATACGTCCCGATATGACCTGCCCAGGCAATATCGATTATGGACAATCACAGCTTTCCAGTCCGTCCAGTTGTTGCCGTAGATATATCATAGTAGCACAAATGCAGTATATTCTATGCACAAGCTACATGCGACGGTGTTTATAATGTAGTCATATATAATAGTCAAGGCGGAGCCACCATAATCTCAATCTTGTCTCATGCCACCCAACCTAGGCCCACTTGCTACTCATATATCGAAATGAAACTGATACTCGCAATCTCAGCGTTTCTTAGCCTCGTCTCACCTCTTTTCGGCCAGCCCACTTCTGAAGTCAATATAGACTATGTCACTACCAGCATCACTTCATCCCCAAGCATTGCTGCTACCGTACCTGCACAACCCTCTGCACCCCCGCCCGGCATTCCCAATCCAGAGAGTGGCGTTAGCAACCTCATCTCACTCCTCCAGCGTCTCAGCGAGCAAGCTATTGTTCTTCAAAAGACCCTCTCTACAGTCGAATTAGACAAGAATAGCATCCTTTCGATCCGCGCCCAGACCCGAGCCATTACCGCCATAGGCGACGCCTCAATAGCCCAAGCGCTCGCCTTGGATTACCTGAACACGCTTGACAGCACAAGGGTGACTCTCAGCACCGTCGCATTAAAGCCGACTTTCGGTCACTTATTGACAATTATCACAAATAAGGTGAGTGAGCCCTCGGATGAATGCATGCAAGTTGATGATAGACTAAATCATGACAACTGGTAGTAAATCCCGCTTTGTGAAATAAAATACTGCAAAGAGATGCACGACTGGATAGGAGTGGTGCGAATTAGCGCACTCAGGCTGTGTGTCGCTGTCACTGGTATAATCAAAATTTCGGAAGGGCTTTTGGTTGAGGAGGCTTGGGCCAGTGTGGACCGTCGGTTCCCGGCAGTCTTGGTGGAGTTTCACGGGCCGTTTGCTTGAAGGAGAGCATGTGGACGTTATTTGGAAGCTTGGGACTACTAGGAACGGATAAATGTCACAGCATGAATATGAGCTAAAGTGGGCTGCTTAGACTGGCCAAGCCGGCGAATCCATTGTCGCCATAACCATTTAGCCAAAAGTCCCGAACAAGCTATGGATCCGATGTTCTTTCCAAGCACCCGAAGCTGCTTCCTCCTCTCCACCCACTGCGTGTCTTGGCCAATATGGTAGCCCTAGTAGCTCTATCCTCACCTCAAACCACCTTATCACGAAATTTGAGCACAGGTACCCCCAAAAATCCAATCCAATAGTCCTGGACCTTTGCTACTAACGCCATGTGATCCATGACAGACCCTCCTTCCTTCCCAGCAGATCGCCTGTCCATCCCAGAAACAACATTATGCTAGGAAAAAGGGATAGACCAACAGACCTCAGCCCCATCGGCCCCCATCATAGCCCCAACAGACCCATGTCCTCATACCTATTTATAGACCTACTACTAAGCCCAAGACAACATTACCTCCTTCTCCTCCATGTTCGTTCCATTGAGAGCTGGCAGCATCATGAAAATATCATTCGTTCGACCCCCTCCCAAGTTCCCCCAGTCTCATACTGTCTACTAGTCGTTATTCAAAATCAATGCAGCCTTTCGGTTGCAGGTGTCTATATTGAGGTATTTCGTTTGGTTTCAACCTAACCAGGATATCGGGGGTTTGGTAGGTATGCAGTGGAGGTCGAGACGGGAAGGGTCTAGATAATTACTCTCTTTTGGCTAGCTGTTCCGTTTCACTGAGATTAATTCTAAGCAAATTAGTCGCTCGAAGTCGTAGACCGTGGATGATGGATAACTACAGGCAACCGAAATCTCCGGGCAGAAGACCCTGGAGGGAGGAGGAAACCTGGATAAGAGATTAATGTTTGAATATAGATCAGTAGGCAAGAAAGGACTGGGAGGAAGGAAGTATCGCAAAAAAGACAAGACACTGAATAAGAAAGAATGGAGCCATCAGAGAAATGAATCTAAATGGTAACGTGCAGGTACTACATGGAAGAAAATACTATGATCCCCAATTGATATGGTTCCATGGCCCCTGGAGACTTTAACCTAGTGGTATAATAAACATATGAGATATATTCTCAGTGAATTCAAGATGACTCCTCAGCTCTGTTGATATTCTCCGATAATTGACCGATCACCAACTAACCTACTCTTGTCTAGATCCAATTGGTCTATGTTCGTAATGGATATCGTCAGCACAGGCAGGACCCTTTAATTTATTCCTGGAGATCCCGTTCTCCACAATGCTTGGTTGCTGACTGCCACAGACCACCGCTAACTTGAAGCGGAAAGTGCTCCGAAGCAGGGTCTCATTTTGAAACGGAGGATGTACATGTCAATGTTACAGGTTGGCGTTAATGACGGCGCACCCGCTATAGCTAGTTGGCTTACTTCTTGGTGAATACCGTATTGGACACGGAAAGTCGGACAAAATTGTGCTGATAGTAAGCATCTTTGACCAGATTTGATCTATTTAAACTGCGTCATCTGCCGCCCCCTCTGTGTTCGTGTCTTGTTCCAAACAATCAACCTCTTTTCCTTTCGAAACTCTCTAGACTGCCGTTCCTCTGCTCCATTGCCCAACATGAAGCTCGCTGTGACCATTTCCATGCTTGCGGCCACCGCCATGGGCCAGACGATGTGCTCTCAGTATGACAGTGCCTCGAGCCCCCCATACTCGGTGAACCAGAACCTCTGGGGAGAATACCAGGGCACTGGCAGCCAGTGTGTCTACGTCGACAAGCTTAGCAGCAGTGGTGCCTCATGGCATACCGAATGGACGTGGAGTGGTGGCGAGGGAACAGTGAAAAGCTACTCTAACTCCGGCCTTACCTTTGACAAGAAGCTCGTCAGCGATGTGTCAAGCATCCCCACCTCGGTGAAATGGAGCCAGGACGACACCAATGTGCAAGCCGATGTCTCATATGATCTGTTCACCGCGGCGAATGCGGATCATGCCACTTCCAGCGGTGACTATGAGCTTATGATTTGGTATGTGACGTCGCGAACAACATAGATGGAGGAGGCTAACGTCACCAGGCTTGCCCGCTACGGCACAGTCCAGCCGATTGGCAAGCAGATTGCCACTGCCACTGTGGGAGGCAAGTCTTGGGAGGTGTGGTATGGTACCAGCGTCCAGGCCGGTGCGGAGCAGAAGACATATAGCTTCGTGGCAGGATCTCCTATCAACTCGTACAGTGGGGACATCAAGGACTTCTTCAACTATCTCACCCAGAACCAAGGCTTCCCGGCTAGCTCTCAGCATTTGATCAGTGAGTTTTCCTAATTCTACTAGCGAGTGCCGCAGTGGAACGGTCACTAACATAAATGATCACTAGCTCTGCAATTTGGAACTGAGCCGTTCACCGGTGGCCCGGCAACCTTCACGGTTGATAATTGGACCGCCAGCGTCAACTAAGTCTTAATTAAAGGGCTTTAGGCGCAGCCTGGGTAAATAGACCCCATCGCGGGAATTAATAGCTTGGTTCTTCGTTTTAGAACGTCGGGTGTGTAAGAGCTAGAAAATCCACCCACTCTGATTGGAAACACCCATTCAACATCGGTACTCCTCTTCAGCCGGGAAAGGCACAGATAGTGTATATATAATCCAATCAACTCTATTCAGTGTTGCTTAAATTCTGGGCCAGTCCTTTCCTTGAAAGGTAACCCACCCGTAGAGCGATGATCATTAACAGATCCGAGTTTTGCTAGGTTAAATTGTTAACCGATCCCGCTGAACTAGCTAGCGCATCCGGCAGATTCAATCTTGACAGTGGGCCAAGCATTTCCTGAACCCCGTAGAAGAAACAGACCCTTATCTAGAAATCTCTAAATAGTACAAGCCGAAACCTGCCTCAGACCATTCAGGTGCCCTAAGCTAAGATTGCTCTTCACAGTCCCAGGCGGTGAACTCTCTAAAGAGGGAGCATCGCTTGTTGATATCTGGTTCGGGGATCATGACGTCCGGTTTGGCAACTCAATGTTCTGCGCTAGACAGACCTTGCAATAGTGCATTTATTTCACGGCTTATGGCCTTCCACGGCTAATCACCTTCCGCGGCCTATGGCTATCCACGGCTTGTGGTCTGGACTTCTGCACTTCGGAATGTGTGCGAATCAGACAATGCTAGGATCATCGGCATATAAACCTGTATATGAGAGCCGAGATGGCCAGGGCTTAAATTAGATGGACGTCACTAGACAGGGGTATCTAAGACATCCGATTCTTAGTTGTAGGCTACATTTAACTATTCTCGGTAACGGCAATTGTTTGCCCTATATGTCAAGGTATTTTGACCGTGCTCTATCCGCGGCGGAATTCAAAGGGATGGCAATGGCTGTGAAGTGAAAGACTTGCTTCCATAATCACTAGTTGTTTCTGCACCAGCTGTCACGAAAGGTCGGCGGTAGGCAGCCCCCAAACAATATGGTATACTGGACAATGGCTAAAGCTTCTGAAATTACTATGAGTTTCATCTGTCCAGAAACTGCCGAATGATATCAGGCTAAATTCTTCTACCCTGATGGCCCCTTCACCGCACATCCTATTTGGCGCTAGTGTATCAACTTCCTCACACGTCTTTCCATCAGTTCCTCAAACTCATCAACACCACGTCCCAGGACACTCAACTCCCCACCACGTACCATATACATGACTCTCCTCCTATTCTCTAATCCATCCACAGTATTATCCTCCTCATCCTCCGACTGCCCTTCATCTACAACCCCCTCCACAGCCCCCCTCATAAACCATCTATCATGACTAACAGCAACAACCGCACCTTCCCACTCATTAAGCGCCCGTCTCAACGCCGTAACAGTCTCATAGTCCAAGTGGGTGGTGACCTCGTCCAGGACAAGGCAATGAGGACGACGCCAGAACAACCGTGCCAATGCACAGCGAACCAGCTGTCCGCCCGACAGCTTGCGAACAGGTACATCTGAGGCTAGACGTCCAGGCAGTCCCAGCTGACTTAAGAGGCCGCGGATCTCACCCTCTGCCAACTCCCCATTAACATCCTGGGTCAATAGTGCTAGCGATGTGAGTGTTTCATCCTGTGCACCAAGGGCTTGCAGGGCCTCCACTCCATGCTGGGAGTAATATCCCAGGCGTAGGCGAGGGTGGGTATTCCTTGTTCCTTGCGTCGGGTTTGTTTCTCCCACTAATGTTTGAATAAGTGTTGACTTGCCCGCCCCGTTCAACCCCAGTATTCCAATTCGGTCGCCCATACCGACCGAGAGGTCGACCTCCCGGATGACGATCGGAGACGTAGCCGCGAAGTGAAAGCTGACTTTTTCAAGGGTTATGAGCGATCCTGGGAATCGTAGATCAGGCGGCTCCGGCAAATCTATAATAACCGGTCGTTCTTCCGGGGGTATGTCGATCTCCTCTCGGGCTGTAAAGTGATAGCCAACTAGGTCGCGATTCAGCTTAAACCTACCGCCCCTAGCACCGACTTCCATACCCCACCGATTATCCAGTTTCTTCTGACGTGACTTTGCTTGTCTGATCTTGTTCTGATCGTCGTTTGCCTTGCCCGCTTTGAGATTGGCTGCGATCGTTTTCTCAATGTGGGCTTTTTGCTTGTCCTGTGCTTCCTTCATCGTCGTGAGATATTTTCGTCGTTCGGATTGCGATATCTCGTATGTGGGAAGGTCTCCGTGGAAGTACGTGAGCTGCTTGTCTTTGAGAATGATCAGATCCGTGCAGAGGCTGATGAAGTCTCGATCGTGGGAGACGATAATCATGGTAGGTGGCTTGCGGTTATCCCCAATTGAGATGAGGTATCGTTGCAGCCAGATAATGCCTAGCATGTCGAGGAAGTTTGTAGGTTCGTCAAGGATCAGTATATCGGCGTCCTGTAAAAGGGTAGTTGCAAGAGCTGCTCGCATGTGCCAACCGCCCGACAAGTCGGAGATAGGCTTTGCCATCATTGCAGACGAGAATCCTAATCCGGCCAGGATACTCCGCGCCCTAGTCTCTATTTCTACAACAAGAGCTGGTTCGATTTGTGATTGAAGCTGTGCGAGCAAGTCCACTGCATCTTGAGTCTCTTGCTGGAGGGTGTCGGATGGGATGTCTTCGTTGGGTTCTTCTAGCCTGGGCAGATGTCAGTTCAGAAGGGCGCGCTGATCAACGTCGATGTCTAACGGATTGTCCACGCACATTCTCTTCGATTCAGCAACCACTTTCTCAAAAGCCACAAGCGCTTTCCTGGCTTGCATGCCTCGCATTCCACTGCGAAGCCGAGCATCTTTATCCAATATGAAAAGGCGTTTTTGGAGGCGCTCGTGTTTCAGCGACCGAAGTGCCCTAACTGGAGCATAAGGATCTGAAGTATCAATTCCCTGAGACAGGGCTAACTTGTTAGCTAGAAGAAAACACTATCAGGTGTATACATACTCGATATCTCTTGTTCGATAGCACTCCTAGACGTTGCCCTCTCTATCACAGTCTGTAGGACATTCAGACCTGTATTATCCCTACCCGCTTGCCTGGGATCATTGACCCCATCCGTCAGTCTGGTCTGCTGAACTATCGCAATTTTTGTGTTCTCTGGTATCCCCGGGATGAGCTTCTCCGCTATACTTCTCAATAATGCTTTTTCAAGACGAGGCACACTGGTTAGCCCCTGAGTAAAAGTTATCTGTCTAGCAGGACTGTCTCTTACTCGACTTTCCGGTCCCATTCCGACCGACGAGAGCATATCGCCGACCTTCTTTCAATGACAGGTCCGCGTTGGACAAAATCTCAATACCGTCTTTAGATCTCGCTTTTGACTTCCCCTTTGTGGTCGACTTCTCCGCTGATGTAACGAGAATTTGCAGTCCTTTGATGTCGAGCTAGAGACATGGGCACAGTCAACACATGAGACCTATTGATCCTGTGTAAGTCATTGCTGCAACGGGCTCTTACCTCGCGGTAATTGGGAGATTCGATATGGAACCGAGTTTGTTGGGAGGTACATTGGATTGTTGCAGCTGATTCCATTGTGCCGGGTGTCAGACTGCGCCATAGGTTAGCAATGTATGTGGGCTGTGACTTAAGCGTGTAGTGCCAGCGAACTTTTCTGCAGCAGACTGAGTGACTGATAGATAATGCTGATAGTTGAATAAGCTAATTTGCCGTCTAGGTAGCTTTGAAGATTCAGTTAGCGTGATTAAAAAATAGATCGTCCTTATGGTGCGGTTACATACCAAGCATAAAGATCCTTTCAGGTCGGGGTCCCGAAAGGGTAAAGCTATGTGCTGATCTGAATGAGAGGGACGGCTAGTAGGCTAGCGCGCAGATACGAGCTAAATTAATGGTCGAAATTTGCTTTTCGGGGTCCTGCAGGGGATCATGGTGCTATGTTTTCTTCACTATGGTGAAGGCACCTATGTTCTCAAGACGGCGAGGGCTGGGTACATGTCGGGGTCCCAAAAGGGAAAGTTAGTCAAATTGGGCCACTCGGGACGCCTTCGACTGTATCCACTATCTTGCTAATTGGCGTTTGTGTGACTGATCAGCAACCAATCACAGTTTCAGATTGGCAGGAAGTATCAAAAGAAGTCATACATGATTGACTCATCGGTTACTCCTGGCATAGCGCCAATGAAGGTGTCCTGGATCATGACTCCAATAAGCGGAGATTGAGTCCAAGACAAGCGGGGAGCCTACTGGGGCCCATGAAAGATTAACTTTCGCCATTCCCCACCTTCAGTTGATGGTTAGGTGATGATTACAACCGAAATAGCATTGAAGATAGGGCTGTGGAATTCCAAGACAGTATCCGCCTTTTCGTGGATACATACCTAAAGGGAAAAATGTCCCTGTCATTACCTATCACATATCATCTCACGCCCATCCACTATCAGAAAAAAAAGTTTCATTGAAGAGTTGCCTCTGCTTAAAACTCTCACATTAAGAACTACTAGCTTTTCCCTTGCCACCTCCAAATAACCACAACACCACCATGAACAAACCACCACCCCCCAACCAAGCCCCCATCATAAACATACCAACCACAACCAACCCAACCTACATCCAAACCATCATCGGCAAACCCTCTCCTCTCTTCCCAAACATCGACAATTTCCTCGGCATCCCATACGGAGAAATAACCCATCGATGGAAGCACGCCAAACTCCGCACCCACCTCCCATCCGATGTGTTCTATGCAACAACAAACGGGTACTTGACAATACCCCAATACATCCAACCTAACATTCTCAACACATTGACAAAGTAATCCGCTAATATTAGACCCAAATGCCCCCAACCACCCGGCGGCGACAACAGCGCCTACTTCCAAGCAGACATTCCCTTCCCCAAACACATACCGGAATCAGAATTCGACTGTCTGAACCTCAACATCATCCGACCTAGCGCAACGGGTCTATCACATGCCGGGATAGATTCCTCCATCACACTGCCGGTTCTCGTCTGGATACATGGCGGTGCGGGCGCATTTGGCGCGGGGAGTGACCCTATAATAGGTAGGTAATAATAACTAGAATTCATTTCTCCCAGGATGGACAGATAACAATTACTAATATAATAACATCAAGACCCCACCCGCCTCGTCCTCCGCTCAGTAGAATCTCGCCGGCCCATGATAGCAATAACCATATCCTACCGCCTTGGCGTGTTCGGATTACTTGGATCAGCTGATATGCTGGATACCCAAGCACCTAATACTGATATGAAAGGCCTCAACTTCGCTAGTTATGATCAGAAGATCGCTTTGACGTGGATTTCTCCCAACATAGAATATTTTGGTGGTGATGCTGATCAAATTACACTCGGTGGGAGCTCATCCGGCTCTCATGATGTGCATGCACATCTACTGGATGCAGATACGCATGGAACCCCGCTGTTCCGGAGAGTCATTATGCACTCTGGTGCCAGGGGAACGGTATCGCCGGGTAGTTTGGCAGATGCGGAGGTGGGGTGGAGGAAGTTGTGTGGGTATTGGGGGGTTAATGAGGAGATGGGGAGTTTGGAGAGGGTGGAAAGGATGAGGAGGATTCCGGCGAGGGAGTTGTTGGAGGGTGCGCTGGTGAATGGGGTTTGTGTGATGCCGCCGGTTGTTGATGGGGTGGGGATGGGGTGGGAGGTGGTTACGTTACCTGGGGTTGAGGGTGGTGCTAAGTTTAGGGATGGTGGATATGGGCGGCGTTTTCCTGTTGAGGTTATGATTGGGGCGTGCGAGGCTGAGGTTAGTGTGTTGGACTCTACTACTCACCTTCCTTTATTTCTTCAGCTATGGGGTGCGGTTTTCTTGCTAACGGTGTTACCATCCGGTGTATAGTCGGCTGGTCACTTCCAAGAAAGCAACATCACCTTCTCATCCCTCAAAGAAACATTCACGAAAAGCTATCCCACTCCCGAAGCAGCCACACTGATTCTCCAACTCTACGGTTTAGTCGAAGGCGCATCACAGAGAAGCCTACTCTCCGGCCTCGAACGATTTCGCTCAGATGCTGTCTTTCACTTATCCATCCACCGTACCATAGATGCGTTGAGGACCCAGCGCCACAATGTATATGGCGATGCAGACAGTATCCAACACTTCCATATTGAGTTCGGGAACCCATTTCCTGGACCGAAGATGGGATGTGCGCACCATGGGGTGGAGTTGATTTATCTCTTTGATGCATTTCATGAGCAGCTTGTTGGGCTGGATGATTTGTCTACTGGGCAGGGTGTAGTGAAGCACATGGAGTTGGTGGGGAGGGTTCAGGATCATTGGATCGGGTTCATTGTTGGAAGGGCGGTACAGAAGGTTGGTGATAAGGAGGTGTTGGTTTGGGGTGAGGATGGGTATACTAGGGTTGAGATGTTCGATGAGATGTCTAGGTGGGTCGAGAGGAAGAGGCAGCTTGAGGAGCTGGGGAGGGATGTTAAGTCTATGATGAGGGTTTTCTGGGCTTTGGGGTAGATGGTTCTGGAGAAGGTCGGTTGAGAGTATGTACCATGGGTCTTCGGTAGCATAGTAAAAGATTGTGTAGGTATATTGCAGTCCTATATTAATGTCCCATAAATATTGACAGAGCCAAACTCCATCTGGTATATGGTATCTTGTCCAATGAGTAATACAATGTCAATCTGGATATCACCGCCTCAAACAACAACAGCTCTTTATCGAGCAAAGACTCTAATCTAATCCAACTAAGCCCCCCTTACTCGCTGCGCTTCTCCACCTCAACCTCCGTCCTACCTGCACCAGTCTCCGTGCTCTCACTATCACCACTAGCAGGCTGATCAGCAGGACCGAATCCGTACTGAATAGCAACCTGCTCGACCTCCTCATCGGTCAAGAATGGCAGCTCCTTGGCCGCACGCACATAGGTCATCTTCTCGAGGTATCCCTTGGCGAAGATCAGATCAATTTCCTCGAGTGATCTACCCTTTGTCTCGGGGTAGAAGATGTAAATGACCGGGATGAAGAGGGCGTTGATGACCGCGAAGAAGAGGTACGTGCCCCATCCGATGTTGCGAATCATAATGGGGGTGACCATGACAATGAGGAAGTTGAAGAGCCAGTTAGTGCAGGTGGAGATGGCGTTCGCCTTGGTACGGGTCTTGATCGGGGAGATTTCAGCCGGGTAGAGCCAAGGGAGCGGGAGCCAGGTAGCGCCGAAGGTGGCAATGAAGGTGAACAAGCCGACGGCGGCACCCTTGGCGGCTTCGGGACCGCCGGGGATCAAGCAGGCGAAGGTAATCACCATGGAAGCACTTTGGCCGAAAGAGCCGACAAGGAAGAGGTTGCGACGGCCGACCTTTTGGATCAGGAACCAGGATGAACAGGCGAAGATGGAGTAGACGATCATATTGACACCACCAAGAATCATGGCCATGAATTCGGTCTGGTGGAGGGATTGCTGCATCAGGACGGGCAGGTAGTAGATGACAGCATTGCAACCACCGATTTGCTGGAAGAATTGAGATGAGCAGCCCAGAAGCATGCGACGGCAGTGCTGGGTCTTGCCGCCGGTGAAGACGGCGGAGAGGGGAGTGGACTTGGTGGCCATGCCGGAACTGGTGAGGTTAGCTTAGGCTATGGATGATTTGAGGGCAGGGGACATACGCTCTGAGAGAGTCCAGAATGATGGTCTTCTGCAGCTGGACCTCGTGGTGGCTGATTTCCTTACCCTGCAAGGCGGCAATGACCCGCTCACCTTCCTCGTAGCGCTCCTGGGTGAACAGCCATCTGGGAGACTCGGGCAGCACCATGAGTCCGAAAATGATAAGAAGACCGAAGAAGATCTGGAAAGCGATGGGGAAACGCCAGGTGAGGTCATCGGGACCATAGGAGGCGCCGAAGTCCACCCAGTAGGAGATCAGGGTTCCAATAGCAATGGTACTACCCTCGATACAGATGAGCAGACCACGATTGGAGGTTCTCGAACATTCAGCCTGGTATGTGGGGATGGTGGATGTGTTCATGCCGTTTCCGACACCAGTAATGACACGTCCGACACAGAATTGAGCCAGAGGGACGTGTCCCTTGACAGACGTAACCTGGATGATAACACCGATGATCATGATGGTGGCACCGAGCATGATGGAGTATCTGCGGCCGAGCCAGTCACCGCAGGCGAGGATAAAGACAGCACCGGCGAGACATCCTAGAAGGGTTAGAGTCTGGTTGTGAGACAAAGACAAGGGATGTACCTACCCAATTCATAGATAGCAGTGACCACACCCTGAATGGTGGAGTTGTCTCTCGTAGCCGTGAAAATGTCGTTGAACGGATCGGCGTCAATAATACTGCTCATCACACCCTCTAATCGAGGTTAGCTCAAGGCTAAAAGCGCCAGGCAAAGGGAAAGCCTTACGATCGTAACCAAAGAGCAAGAAACCCAAGGTCGCACAGGAAGTCACAGACCAGATCAGCTTCCGACCGGACAAGCCGGCGAAAGTGGGCACCGAAGACATGGTGAGATGTCTTATTTTTGGCTGGATCAGGACTGATGCAGGTCGCAAGCAACGGTGGGATTGAACGGGAAGCGACGCGACCTCTTTATAGCTAAGGGCTGCACCCCGGAAAAACCGTGAGCTCTGCGGGGTGGAGGTCGGGCTGCATTGCTTGCTTCAACGACCAGGATAATCGGAAGAAGGGCTTTTCGGTCACACCAATCAGCTCATCTCGGCAAGGGCAGGGAAGACGAATGAACGGGGAGAAATGAAGGCATCGAGGAAGGTTCAGGGCCGCGTTCCCTCCTTGGCTCCCGGCCAAGGGCTGGGCAGATGAATGCCGAGATCTTGGTTCCAGCCAGGATGGGAGGTTTGGGGGAAGAAGAGGAAGGACAGCCGAAGACATGACGAGGAGTCTGACAGACTGTGAAATTGTGAAACTTTTCATTTCTGAATCAGGCTGGTATTCCGAATTCTCGCGGGTTGATGAGGCTGCGACAAGAAATGATACCAAGACAGACCGAGTTGGGTGGAGGGCACCCACCACCCACACTCATGCTCTCGGTAACCCTCACCCACTCGCTGCCTCGCTCTCTCTCTGCCTCTCCTCCGCCAACAGCACCTCTACACCTACCATGGAAAAACACTTAGGACACTCACATCGTAGCGAGACTAATTAAACGAATTACTTTCTACCCTCATACTTTCGAAAAATTGGTCATTCAGTCAGCACCACCCCCAATCCTCACGCCACTTGCCAAGCCCACCAGCACCAGCACCAGTCAGAACAAATCCCGCAACTCGCTGGAAATTGGCCGGATTTCCATTCCAAACTTTGACCATCGAAATGAAGCAACCCTACCTACCTACTCTAGTAACTTTCTACCACCACCACCGTCGGGGGGCCAAGTTAAGTTGCACCGCGCAAGCCAAGAAGCCTTGTCGATCTTGCCTATTCCTTACTTTTACGCCCAGCGACGCCGTTACCGCAACCGCGTGTGTATGTACGCGTGAAATATCAACATAGCCGAAGCCAACCTGCATGCTACTAGAGCGATAGTAATCTTCCTTTCCACGTGTGCCATGCGATGACAAGAGTATCAGGAACATGCCATTGTGGACTCTGATACGCGACTTGCTCTAGCTTATCGCAGCTCAGCTGTTGCCAACGCCAATGCTCATGCTCGTGCTCGCACAGACTAGGATGCTGTGCAGGTAGTATCTATCTAGCTCGTGCATGGCCGACAGCTTGAAACTTAGCCGACTGGGTGTGATGTTGTGTCTTACCTTAGTTAGGCGGGAGAGCGCCATGACTCATTCGTTCATTAAGTGAACTCTTGGGGATTGACACTCATGGCGCCGATGACGTTGTTGCGTCGAGTAGTGTTCTGCGCTTTGGCAGTTCTGTTGGTGGTGGTGTCCGAAGTAGCTTCTTTGTAGTCTTCTGGTGGATAGATAGACAAGCAGTAGACGGTGGCGTCTTTGAGCAGGGGCCTGACCAAGCCAACACCATCATCATCATCATCGTGGCTTTGTGGAAGAGAGAGTGGGGTGAGGTGAGTGAGCGGCAATAAACAGTCCAGGGCACGTGCCACGATCACTTGCTTTGAATGCGGGGACTCCGCATAATCTCAAACAAGTGACAGCCTCGACGGGTAGAGCGAAGAGATATAACATAGCATCTTCTCTCACGGGTAGTATTGTCTCCGTAAACAGGTATATCACGACCAAGTTGTCTTTTTTACAGCTACTCTCTTTTCACTCTCTTCTCTTTACTGCGCATTGACTTCAGCTGCGAAATTTTCAGCCGACCGTCACAAGCGATCCAGTGACTGAGCGTCCACAAAATGTCTGACCGCCAAGATGGCGCCGCCGCGGTGATCTTGGCGGGCCCTTGGCGGGGCCTTGGCACTGACGCTTAGGGAAATTTTCGGGTGAGATGGGCGGCAAGCTGGGGATCGGGTTTTTGCGGGGATTTATTCCTTACTAGATGGTGAGTGAGACGATGGCATGATGGGGGCTAAATTAATGGTATGCAGTATACAGTTATATTATACATTTCTTTCCATAGGCTTCTCTGTACAGAATGCATCTAGTCTATTATGACACATGTGGCGCTATATGCAATATATACCTGGTCTATACCTCCTCCCTAAGCATTACTGGCACACGAGAAACTGCTGCTGTTGGCGTCGTCGTGAAGGGACCGACCGGAGACGTAGAGTCCAAGGCCGCACTGGTGCTGTGATTAGAGATGAAATGACAATAGCAGGAAGAATACTCACAATGCAAGCTGCAATGCCGATTATAATAACGTTCAAGATAGTCAGTGCAATCTTCTTAGGCGAAGAGAACAGTCGGTCCTTGTTGAGGTAGAGCCAGAACATGCCGCTGAAGCCGACTATTTGCTGTTAGTGTGAATACGACGAATGAAAGGGAATAATGCGCTCACATGTAGACCAACTAGCGAAAAGGGACGCCTGGAACGCAGTTAGTAAGATACTTTAGTAGAAGAGGCTGGCAGCATACAATCAAACTCAGCAAATCATTGAACACAGGAATGGCCTCTGCAATGATCCAGGCAATGATCCACAATCCCAAAGCGATGCCCACCCAGGATCCAGTTGCCACGAGGTCGCGGCTGTGCATCCGGTCTCCGTGACGGAAGATACGGACATAGACATATTTACAGGCGACATGGCCATTCACAACGCCACCGATGATGATCTATCACATGTCAGTAGAGCACAGGTAATATGAGCACCGCACGTACAGTAGGGAGGGCGATTCCGTAGGCTATCTTGCCCACGAGTTCACTAGCGGAGCCTAGTGCAGGGGACGTGACATTAGGCCCCGCATAAATGTAGATCACCACGGAAGTGACCAGGTAGAGAATGGTGTCGAGACCCTGGAGAAGACACAGGGCCTTGGGGTACTCTCGGTGGTCCTTTAATTCGGACATGAAGCCGAAGAATGCGACATGACCCGCTATTGCACGTTAGTAGGAGTAGCTAATGCAGGAGAGAACGTGACCCACAGAAGGAGAAGACAATGTTGCAGACAGCAAGGAATGCTTCATACAAGCTGGTATCCACCGTTGCTTCAAGGGTTCCCTTGTAAGGACGTTCCACACCGACGGCAATCATAACGATCATCACGGCGGAGAACACACTGATGAAAGCTGTGCAAGTTAGTATCGTGAGACTACCTGACATTGTTCGCAACTTACAAGCAACTGAGAGATAGGAAACATTCGCAGACGTCCTAGGTAGACCCAGGAAGTAGCAGATCACGAGACCAACAACACCAAAAACGATGGAGCAAGTTCCATGTTCCGTGATCGTGTTCATGGCGACCGAGAAGGTCAACAGATGACTCGCCATGATGAAGATGACGAGCAGCAGCTGTCCGATACCGAAGATCTCTCGACCAATAGACCCAAAGAGGATCTCACCGGCATCGGCCAGATTCTGTACATGGGGATAGCGCCATCTGAACTGACCGATGACGTAACCGGTGTAGGTAGCCAGAAGACCGAGACCAACGATGAGAACAATAGCACTACACCTAGTTAGAGGAGGATATCACTTCAAGCAGCTGCTGGTTCAATACATACGGAGCAAGACCCAGAGTGGCGACAACAGCAGGCAGCGACAGGATACCAAGGGACACGGTTTCCGCAACCATGACTGGCAAAGTTAGTAAGACGAGCTGTCGACTGATGCTAGCATCAGAATCACTTACGGAAACCACATTGCCTGGCACATTCAAGTCAGTTATTCGGTAGCAGATATAGGACGTTTGAATAGACATACCACCAGCTCAAGACCTTATATTTAACCTCGGCATACTCTTCATCACCAAAGGTGTCATTATAGACGGGGCTGTCCTTCTTGTCGTCCTGCTTCTCCTCTACATCATGCAGATAGGGTTCCTCTCGACCCTCCTGGAAGAATTGACCCGTCTGAACATTCAGATGGGAGTCAACCTTGTCGCCAGTTGGATGGGCCATGACTCTGCGGTGACGGGAAGGTGAAAATCACAGCTTGCTTCTCCTCTCCGCGGGAAATGAGATGGACGAGTGGGGACGGTAAAAAGAACTGGCGACGAAGAGAGTTTCTTGGGGATGTACAACGTCAACGGCCCTACCGCTCCTACATTGACACAAACAGGCAAACAATCAACCTAGCGCAGAAACTGAACAACAATGACAGGCTGAAGATGTCAAGAGGAACTGCGGTGACAAATGAACGAGTCCGGCGAGAAGACCATCTTCTGAGTCACCCGCCGGGCCGAATGAAAGTCTTTGCATCACAAACAAATTTGTGTGTTCAACGTTACACCTGTTGAACATCTCATTACCTAATTCGCGAGCCTTTTCAGTGGGGCTCTCCGCTTCATCTGCCCGTCCCCGACCAATGGCCTTCTATGCCAAGCCGGCGGTGCCTGCGGAAGGGCCTGGCACTAGGCTGGATTGAGAAGGACCTGCCGGGATGGTGTGGGGGCACCATCATGTGATCGGGGATGCAGAAAGATTCTGAAAACAGAAATCTTCTAGAAGCTGAGCCTGGAATCATGAGATGTTGAGTAGATATACATTCGCCACTACATTAGAGTCATCTGTCAACGGACAGCAGCAGTGTCGTGTGGTGAAGTCACGGATTTCCCCCTGGATATCACTACGCAAAATCGTCTCATCATCTGTGGGAATGACTGCAATCAATTCACCCTACTCGCTTAGTATAATATATATTTCTACCTCGGCCTTCGTGATTCTGACAACTTGCCTCTTACAAACTAATAAAATCTCACATCAGCGTCCTCATGCATAACAGCACTAGTAATACTTGAGCATGCAATTGCCTTCTGACCTATAGCACACCACCTCTAGCTTTTGAAGGTAAATGAACGCTCATACTACCGCTGACCTTAAGCACTGAAGGTTACGTACAGCATAGTATCAAAAGATTGTCATCGACGTTTAGAGCAGCAATACAGGCTATACACCCCGTTACTACCTTTGTTCATAGCTTATACTCAAAAACCGTCGTCTGGCTTAACAAATTTGACACGCA